CTGCATTGGTAACAAGTCTGGCTCTGTGATTGGTTGATACTGTTGGAAATTTCTATTTGAACTGGATATTGTGAAAAAGTACTGTTCGGGGCTTGATTTTGTATATATCGGCTATTCTGTACTGTATTTTGCGAATAGTTACTTCTTTGCATTGTATTATAAGGATAGGTGTTGCTCACAAATAGACTCTGAGTATACAAGTCCTTGTTAAGAACTGGATTCTGTGAAATGCTGCTGCTAACAATATCCTGGTTTACATGGCTATGAGTACCAGCATATACATTCGGCTCTATATACTCTGTTGACTGGGTAATTGTGTTGACCAGATTTTGATTAGGGTTTGTTTGACTTGAACTTGGTATCTGAAAGCTGTTTTGTTTGGCTGTTCTCTTTAATTCAAAATTTTCATTCTTTAAGGCATCTAATTGTCTTCTTAATTGTGTGAGCTCATCACTATCAGAATTGGTTGATCTTGAAATTAAAGCGCTATCACTTCGACTTTGAGTTGGAACAAGGAACGGATTAGTGTTATTCTCAATTTCTTTACTTATAGCAGGTAAGTTGATAGTATGATCCATGGTACAAGGATTTTCATCAGTCAAATGATTTATCTCCCTTTCTCCTTCATTAATTGAAGTAGGCAATATATTTGGATACTTATTTATTGTCTCCCCATTACTGAATTCAGGGATATTAAACCTTGCATTAAAATAATCATGAGAGTTTCTAGATTCCCCTGAAAAATGGGCCTCCATATTCCCAGATGATATGGCATGGTTGGGAATGGCTAAACTACTTGGTGGGTTTATTCCAGATCCCCTTCCTCTTCCCCTTCCTAAAGACATTGATCCCGTAGACATACTAGGTTGTCTATTTCTCAAATTATACATCCTACTTTTGACTGCTAAATGGAATCAAGAGTTTCAATATACTAATCAACTTGGATTAAATTTTATCCTTGTTGAAATTGATAAAGAATTTCCTATGCCTTACTTTTAAAACACAATTTGGATTATGAATCTATCCTTACTTTGTGAAATAGACTATATACATTTTAAACTTGAAATAGACTATAGACGTTCAACTTTGACCTTAATGAAATATAACTACAACTTAGATTTATATTTATCCTTGTTGTAAAACTTATTTTGTGAAATGTACTATTTAATTTACAACTTCGAAATAGACTATAATTTTTTTTTTTTAAACTTCGACTCTATCGAAAAATTATTATAACTACAACTTGGATTTATATTTATCCTTGTTGTAAAAAATAAGCTTATGAAATGGACTATTTAATTTACAACTTTGAAATAGACTATAAATTTTACAACTGGACCCTATTGAAAAAATTATGGTTTTAATATTATTATTCAACTTGGATTCAGATTTATTCCTGTTAAAAATAGACTCCTAACTTTAAAACTCAACTTGGATTAAAGTTTATCCTTATTGAATATGGTATTCAATATTAATCTAGCTCAACTTGGATTTTATTTTATCCTTGTTGAAATTTGACTTAAAATTTTTTATCTTTTAACATTCAACTTAGATTAGAATTTATCTTTGTTGATGTATACCCCTTAACTTTTTTATTTCAACTTATAGATTCATATTTATCCTTGTTGATATATACTCAAATTTAATAATTATAACCTTTTCAACTTGGATCTATATTTATCCTTGTTGAATTTAAAACTACTGAAAGATATACTATAAGCTTAATTAATCTCACCAACTGTACTTTTCTTTTCTTTCACCTTTTGTTGAAGTGTCCTTTTTTATTATGTTCAGTTTTTTTTTTTAAGTGTAAACAAATATGGACAGTAACAATTTAAAATATTTTTACTTATCAATTGCTTGCCTAATAAAATATTCACGTAGATTCTTAAAATTTTCTTTAAAAAGAAAACTAAATTCGCTGCCACCAGTGTAAAGATTGTTCTCAATCTTTCTTACAATACCTTTAGTCTGTAGATATTTATTCTATTCAATAGCTTTTAGAAATATATTAGCCAGGTTTTCTAAATAAAATAACAACTAAACTACTATTTCAAGAAATAGAAATTATTATTATTACTATAAATTACTACAAAGAATGAAAGTACAATATGTTTAACGGTTTTCTGTGATTTTCGTGCGTGAAGTATTTACCTATTAAGTTTCTGTAAAGATGAGTTCAAATTCGTTTTGCTATTCGGAAAATCCCCTTTTTATAATACTTATCACGCCTTATCCTTGCGCGTAAGAAAATAGGTCGCTACTGGTCAAGGTTAATCATATAAATCACTGTCAATACATACGTAAATATTGGATTATAAAGAAAGCAATCACGATTTCATACGTCTCGACACCGATTTATCAATATAAAGCATATAAATACAAGTAACTAAAGAAATGTAGGATTAATAACAAGTTAGAAAACAAAGATGTTATTCGAATGCCACATGTTGGCGGAATTTCGTAACGCTAAATCGGCAACTGCCAATTTTGCCGGGAACGACGTTACGCTAACACAAAGGTAAAACCGCGTTATTGAATGTTTACAACAGACATTATCAAATAATCAAATTTACCTTTACACAGATTTAACTCCGCCTACTTATATTGTTTGCAGATGTCAATCTTAATTACAATGCTTGAGCAAACATTGATACAAACAACGCAAGCAAGCCAAACAAACCTTTGTCTTGCTAGCATTATGAAAAGAGCTGTAAAGGATTTAAGATCAGTCCTCTTCAAAGTATAGGTATCACAAACTTACATCAATCAGATGAACCCTGCCAGATGGAGATAAACCTTGCCAGATGGACATTTGTCATTTCAGGGCCTTTTATAGCTGACTATGCGGTATGGGCTTTGCTCATTGTTGAAGGCCGTACGGTGACCTTTAGTTGTGTCATTTGGTCTCTTGTGGAGAGTTGTCTCATTGGCAATCATGCCACATCTTCTTTTTTTTATAAACCAGGGGCGTAGCTACCTTCTTGTTGAAAAGGAATCGCAAACTGAAGGACGAGGGGCCCCAGTGGGTAGGGGGAACAGGGTAGCGAAGCCCCCCAGAAGCTCTGCATATATAGCATTACAAAACAATCACAACCGTAATAAAACTTGTACATTTTTGTTGTGTTTTTTTGGTCAACTATTTGTTTAACTCCGAGTCATATAAAGACTAAACACCAATGAACTGAGTCTTTGTTTACTAAATACAAAATCGACAACTGTGAGCTATTGCTTACTAGTTACGACTAGGAAATGTACATTACAAAGTGGTATCAGTTGGTAGACAAATAGTAGGGAGGAAACTGTACATTACAAAGTGGTATCAGTTGGTAGACAAAGAGTAGGGAGGGAACTGTACATTACAAAGTGGTATCAGTTGGTAGACAAAGAGTAGGGAGGAAACTGTACATTACAAAGTGGTGTCAGTTGGTAGACAAAGAGTAGGGAGGAAACTGTACATTACAAAGTGGTGTCAGTCGGTAGACAAAGAGTAGGGAGGAAACTGTACATTACAAAGTGGTGTCAGTCGGTAGACAAAGAGTAGGGAGGAAACTGTACATTACAAAGTGGTGTCAGTCGGTAGACAAAGAGTAGGGAGGAAACTGTACATTACAAAGTGGTATCAGTTGGTAGACAAATAGTAGGGTGGAAACTGATAGGTAAAAAATTCATGAAGTGTGTTACTAAATATTAGATTTCTGCCAGAAATAGTTCCCGAGAAAAATGCCACGAAAACTTCCATGTATGACCATATGTCCAAAAATAAACAGAGGTCGGGAAACAGGAAGTAGGAAACTCAGGAGTATTTTGCTGAAATGAATAGTTGCTGAGACAAATGTTGTTACGGGCGGACGCACGGACAGAGATACACAGTAACCAGTATACACCGTACTCCGTTGGGCAAGGAACAGGAGGATAAAAAGAAAAAATTCACAATAAGTGCATTATGTGGGAACCAAACCAGCCTTTTGGACAGGTGGTGGTCACAAATTTCATGACTTATCTATTAATAAATAGTAGAAAATACATTTTGTATATATTGTTCAATTTCTTTATAATTGCCTGTACCAACTCGTGGACCTAGAAATTTTAAAGGGTGAGTGTTTTTCTTTCACAATAAGGCTGCATTTTTTTCATTTTTTTTCCTTTTAACTGCAAGATCCTTAAGTTTGAGGAAAAAAATAATTTGGCTTTCATGGGTTTAAAAAAATAATCGGATGCTTTTTTCAACAAATAAACAATGTTAATTTTGTTTGATTGTGTGAAAACGATGTGGATGCACGTGCTGTCGTGCCTCCGGGTAGCTATGCCCTTGTAAACACTTACAATCATTCTGTACATCATCTATAACTGACCCATTGCTTGTTGTATCTAAGAAACATCCCTTATCACTAAAACTTAGTCAGTCTGACATGTATAACTTACAATCACTATATACTGTAAATTCAGAAATTATTGCGAGGTTTTTATTAATGTGAATAATGGGACTGGGTGATGATCGCAATAATAAGAACTCACGTTATGATATCGGATACATATATCTGTACACAAATTTTCCTCAAATCGCAATAATTAATCTCACATTTTAGTCCATTCTTCAAAAATCCCATTAATAAATGCATGCAATAATTTCTGAATTTACAGTCCACAAAACAAGTTGACCTTTTGCTTGTAACATTTAAGAAAAAGTCCTTATCACTATATAACTAAACATTAACCAATGAATCATGAAGATGAGGTCAAGGTCACCCCGTTTGAGGGACATATAAACGGTACAATCATTCCATCCACCAAATATTGTTGACCAATACTTGAGTATCTGTGAAACATACATAAACATGAAAACTGAGACAGACATGTACACCTTGATTCATTCTATACATCGAAATTAAGTTAACCTATTGCTTATAAATATAAAAAGTTTTAGAGAAACACATCTAATCAAGCAAAAACAAAGTTGATCACCAGACCGGGTAACTGTCCTAAAAAAAGAAGCATACTTAGCAGGTTCTTCTTCACTCTCCTTCTTTCCTTTCTTTTTCTTTTTCTCCTCATCACTGCCACTATTAAATGAATTATCTGATGCTGAACCTGCAGCTGATGTTGACTTGGCCTCAGATTCTGATTCAGACGATGATGTGTCATCAATGAAAGAGGACTCATCATCAAACATGTTCTAAAAATACACACAAAATAACATAAATCAATCCCGTTTTTTTTAAGAAAAGGGAAATTCATCAGGAGTTGACTTAATTTTGTTGTTGAAATATCTTTTTTATCATTTATAAATTTATCAGAGAATACTGACAACCTCAATTATTCCAAGATAATGCTATACATCAATTTGTTATCTGGGCTGTAGGAGTTTTGTCTACCCAACAGCATAATTCTTGGACAAGTTTGATGGTCTGGCACTTTTCGGGAAGCCTAAAATATTTAATTACCCCTATGTGAATCAGTAGCTAATTTAAGTAAGATTGTGTGATAGCTCTAGTCCTGTGATTAAGACTACCTGGAAATAGAGATCGTAGTTTTTTTTATTTTAAAGAAAGTCGACAAGTAAAAGAGCTTTGTCAAAATAACCAAAATCAGGGTTCATACAACTTTTTTGTTCCATTTTTCAATGACTTTTCAAGAAAGTTTTATGAAATTTCCATACCAAAAAAAAAACCCTAGCAAACCAAAGGGTCATCTCTGTTGCTGTTTTCGTAGAAATAAAATAAAAACATCTTTTAACAACCAATATTGACACAATATAGCAGACCAATCCGATATATCAACATATCTATGAATGACCCAGTATAGTTAAGATTAACAATGAATCGGGACCTACTTCTTAAGCCAAAAATAAAATTAAAATTGTTTGATGTTGCCACCTTCCCACCTAAAAATCAGCCTACCGGAAAATTTTATGACACAAATTGTTTCAATTTTTTTTTTTTAAACGTTTTTTCCCATGCTCTAGCGTCATTTTCTTGTCTAAAACATGTAACTTATGTTGTTGGCTAAATAAAAAAAAAATCTCTACCTACCTACCCAACCCTACAAGGCATGGGTAGGCCTTATCATATATTTTATGATGATCTACAGACTCAGTATAATAGAATTTATACAGGTTTCCAAATTATTTTAATATTCAAACAAAATTGTATGTCTTTGCTACTACCCATGAAATTAAAAAATAAACAACCTTTACCAAATGAAAATTGTTCTAAATTTCATGCACAATTACTACTTTCAATAAATACATAATCTATACTTTTTGTCAAACACATATAAAACAAGGGCTGTTCTACAAAAATATACATGGGACCTTGAGAAGGCATTTTAAATTCTTAACTATGGGTGGGTGTTTTTGTACTGTCAGTGAGAGAGTAAGAAAATTTCTAAAATTCCATGTGTAGATGGTTACCCCTTTTTCAAAGTGCCTTCCCTGGATACCATGTATGTTTAAATGGAACAGCCCAAATCTATTCTGCATCAATATAGAACAAAAATGTTGCATGGTAGATTGAAAGGTGCTCTCTCCCCAAGAACATCCATCCCTACAATTTTTGAAGGTATTTCTTTAGACATTAAAATAATCTATTGACATACACATTCCAAGATAACACCTTTCAATCCTATTGTATAACTTCTTCTGAACAATTCTCAATACTTCACCTTTGAGTCTCCATTCTTCTATCAAAACAGGCTATATATAATGTTTTTGTTTTTCGTTTTTATTTTTGTAAACACCAACTTGCAAAATTTAAACAAACCACTGTTTCATTTGTCTAACCCACTGAGTGCAAATTCCATGAAAGCTGGACAACAATTAACCGTTAAGCTTTAACAATATTTGATTTATGAAGTTTCTGAAATCAGGAAAATCTCAATGTTCGAAAGAATTATAAACCAATGAAATTTCTCACAATTGTGAAAGCTTTCTTCCGTGTTTATCTATTTTTAGCATGAAGTTTGATCATGTTTATATTATTAACATTCTACATTTATGTATTTCAATTCTAGAAAACAGACCAAATAAGGATGTTCTATTTTTTTTAAGGATTTTTCTCCCAACGATTAACCTTTTGAACATTGAGATGTGGATTTTTCTCCCAACGATTAACCTTTTGAACATTGAGATGTGGATTTTTCTCCCAAAGATTTACCTTTTGAACATTGAGATGTGGATTTTTCTCCCAAAGATTAACCTTTTGAACATTGAGATGTGGATTTTTCTCCCAACAATTAACCTTTTGAACATTGAGATGTGGATTTTTCTCCCAACGATTAACCTTTTGAACATTGAGATGTGGATTTTTCTCCCAAAGATTAACCTTTTGAACATTGAGATGTGGATTTTTCTCCCAACGATTAACTTTTTGAACATTGAGATGTGGATTTTTCTCCCTTTTATACATCAAGACAATAAGACAAGCATGTACCATGTACGGGAATTGCTTAATGTACCAACATGCACATCTTCAGTAACTTATCTAGGAATATGTTCTACCTTTTTAAACTAAAAGAGGATTTTCGAAACTATAACCTGTATCCTGTATGTGGACACAGACTGACAGGCGTAAATTAATATGTCCTTGACTTTCCTTTGCTGGGGCATTTTACTGCACTTTTAGCATACCTTCATTTCTTGTCTAACTTCAGCCATCTTTAAAACCCATGGATGTGTCCATATCCTCATCAGAGCCTGGTAATCAGAGAATAGTTTGGCTCCTTTAGATTTTCCCATGTCCCCAGGTCCAGAGTAACCACCTATTTCTAGATATTTACTGTACAGATCACACTGAACGTTAGCCAGTCTAACAGCTATCACATACTCTTGTTTGGGTGGCAAGTATTTTGTTAATGCAGAGTAATCTTTTCTCTGAAAGAAATAAATCAAGTTCAATATACAGGACATTAAAAAGTACAGAATTTTATTATTTTATTTTGCCATTTCCTAAAAGAAACAGATTGATATATCAAATGTAGATGCAGGTAAAATAGTATAGTCATTTTTAGAATTGCACTGAAAAACTTGAAATGCTCTATTAAAATTACCAATGATAATTTGGTTGTTTAATAGTTTTGTGTTAAATTCAAACACGAAATGTAATATCATTCAATAAATATTCACTTTAGTAAGCACTGCATTAAAAAAATATAAAAGAACGAAAAGACGGTCTACAAAACATATATCTCATAGAAATTTTCTACTTTCATTTTTTCTTTCTTTAATATGACTAAAAAGTACACATATCCTGCATCATATATATCCTGTACAATTATCACTTCTTCCATCTATTATTTGATAACTTTGTTGAACCTACTACTGTTGTCTGACATGACATAAATTCTGAATATTTTTAACAAGATATATAAAATTATATTGTGCTAATCTTAATATTTACAAGCACACATCATAATTCTGAAGGGATTATACATTTTTTAATCCTAGAATAATGGTGTATTTGTCAGTTTTACCATTGTCCAGCTATTAACATGTCTGTTTTTAAAACCTTGAAGTAAAGTTCGATTGACGAAAGTGATACATTCTGCCAGGTTGCTATTTCTTTTAAACCAACCTCTTTTCATTTGTGTTTAACCTTTCAAAAGAAGGTTTAATTGAAATGAAAGTCTTTCATATTTTAAATTTTCTCTGATTTAACTAATTATTACATTCAAACCTGCCTTGAAGACATCTCCATAAAGAAAATATCCCATAATAAACTAAGCTTTTAGTTATTCCTTTATTATTCCATGTTACATGTATTATACTGTCTAAAGAGCTGAATGGACAGCAAAAGTTTTATGAACAATGTGATTATTTTGAGTTGTCCTTTTTGGAATTTAAATAGTTAAAACTGTATCAAGGACTGCACTTGATTTCCAATATATATAATATGTCTGTGCTGTTTACCTGTACACATCCAGCTAATTTTTCATGAAGAATATGAGCTCGCCTCTTCATGAGTCTGACATCATGAGAACTAGAATCTGTACACTGACCATTAGTGATAGGATTAACAAAACGATTCAGAAACTCCTTCCTTGTTCCCAATAAGTTAGGTTTAACAAAGTTTACCATACAATGGTCTGCAAAAAAGAAATGATCATGAAAATATAAATAACTGAGCAAGAAGTTTATCATACAGTGGTCTGCAAAATAGAAATGATCATGAAAATATAAATAACTGTGCAAGAAATTTATCATACAGTGGTCTGCAAAATAGAAATGATCATGAAAATATAAATAACTGTGCAAGAAGTTTATCATACAGTGGTCTGCAAAATAGAAATGATCATGAAAATATAAATAACTGTAAAAGAAGTTTACCATACAATGGACTGGAAAAAAGAAAGAAGTTTTATTCAGTTGGTGTCAATTTTCAAGTATTGCAGTAACAGTTGACAAGTTATAGCACAGAAACTGTTGGCAGCAGCCTGCGGCACACTGTATTTCACCAAATTTCCCCCTCTGAAAACCAGAATAATAAAATAAGTGCAAAATTGTGGTTTACTTACATTCAACAAGATTATTTTGGAGTGGGGTACCAGTCAGTACAATTCGTCTTCTGGTTTTAATCTGCATCATAGCTTTGGATAGAGCTGATGCATCATTCTTTAGGATATGTCCCTCATCACACACAACAAAATCTGGACCTGTAATTATCATATAATCATTTAAAATGTGAACAAATGAAACTTGACACTGCAACTGTTATATTATCTTATTTAAACTCATCACATTAACTAAAACTTTCAACTGGTTCCCCCCTTCCCCCATATACATTGTATTTTGCCCAAAAACATAAAGCAAAACTTAAGGCACACAGAAGCTTATATCCCTCACATCGTATATGTGGTCATTTTTCTTTTTATGTAGATTGTATTTATCTGTGCAACGGAGGATACAATAACCTTTGGATTAATTATCATTTTGACCTTTAAATTTGCAATAAATAGTTTGGCAGAAGACTAAAATCTGCTTTAAAGTGGCAATTTTTTTTTTAAGAAAGTGAAGTTTAAGATGATGAGGAGCCAAAGCTTCAAGACGAGTAACAATTTTCTTTGACTGCGAAACCAAATATAGTGATAGAAAATATATCTTCATTACAAGATTTGCTTAGAGTTGATTACATTAGAGATTTTTTTATAATACTATATCATATGCAGGAGTTGTCTCTCTTCCAGAAGTTGCCCTTGGTATATTTAGTTTTTACATCAACAATTAAACATTGGTATCTTTGTGAACAGTACTCTGTAATGTCTTATACTTTTTCTCTTTTGTATCATTTTGTTCCAATCTGAGCTTTGTTTAATAAAGTATTTCTGATTACTATATGAACTTCTCACCTGGATCTACCAGAGTCTTTCTAAAGGATGCTTTTATTCTTTTGTTTTTACAATTACTGCCTTGAGACAAATTACGAAACATTTCATAGCCAATAATCATGATACCACCATCTTCGTGCCATTCCTCCAACATTTTAGCTCGGCTCTCATTCACCTTTACACTGGCCAGTTCATGAACCTACAACAGTTACAGAAATTTTAATCATTTTTATATAATTTGCATATCTATAAATACAGGTACTTGAATTAAATGGTAGCTTAAAATTTTGTTCCTTGGTTTACACTTGACCATGTTGCCAAATGATGATTGTTATCAATGGGGATTTCACTATGATATATCATGCACAATACACATTAATGAAATCATGGGGTTCTAAGAAAGTTAAAATTGAGAGAAAAATATAACAATTGTTTGGGTTGATAATTTCAAGGATTAAGCACCATTTTTTAAAGGTTATTAATGTATAAACCAATGAATATCATATATGTATTTTGTTTTATATAAAGCTTGTGCTTTTCTAAGACAAGTGCCTCAAGGATGGTAAGAAACAAACAGTGTTACCCTCTTAAAATATAGTTTTTGTTGTTGTTTTATATTGTGTTTTCGTCTTCTGAATTCTACATACCTCACACACTCCCTTGCATAAGAAATCAAATTCTACAATGGTAGGAAAGTACTTGGTAAGTTGGGATGTAATGACTGACTTTTTAAGGCCAATTTGGATATATTCTTCACCAGGAGAGACAAAGCAAAGCAAACAATATGATGCAGTAGTAAAAAAAAAAGGATTGATATGCTGTAGCAAAATGTCTCAGGAGTTGCTTTCACAAGGTGTCATTGTTACCATACTAAAATAAAGAGCTGCGCCATGAGTGCATGATACGCCCGTCGCTTTTTCAAAGAATACAGTTCCATAACTCCTCAATGTCATATCAGAAATTTATAAAAAAACTAAAAGGGATGTTATTTTAATAGATATAAACAATTCACCAAAGTTTAATGAATAAGGCTCAAAGCATTTTTGAGTCATTGTCCTAAAACTGGAAAATCCCCCTTTTTTAATGAATAAAACCCCATAACTCGGAAACGTAAAATCTAAAATTTATAAAAATCGAAAGGGAGCTCACGTCAATAGATATAAACAATTCACCAAAGTTTCATGCAAATTGGTTAAAGCATTTTTGAGTTATTGTACGACATGTAGACGACGGACGGATAGACAACGGTATACCATAATACGTCCCATAAATGGGCGTATAAAAATGGTCAAAGTCCCATAACTCCTGTAAAAATGGTAGAATCAAACTGACAGTACCGTAAGATCAAGAGAATATAAGATAATTAATACTATGCAAGCTTTCTGTCAAACAGTTTCTGTGTATTGATGTGTTACGGATGGATTGAAGTAGACCATTACCATATCTCTGACTTGCAGGGGGAAAAATCATTTCCATTTTTCTATGATCTATATATACTTCCTCCATTTCACCAATTTGACCCCCTTCCTAGCCTGACTTACATGCGATATCCATATATACTACCTATAGTTATCCCCTACCTATCCTGATTCACATGTGACCTCTCTATATATTAAGTACCTATTAAAGTTCACCTAAGTATTTGACCCCCTACATATTCTGATGTGACCTCTCTATATATATATGGTACCAACCTCAAGTTGAACTTCATTCTTTTCCAGCCACATTTTCACCTCATGCTGCCAGTTTAACACAGTATTCAATGGACAGACAATAAGGGCTGTACTGAATTCTGTCGTCTCATAATTACCCATCATTGTATGTAGGAATGCTATCACCTAAAGTATAGAGAAATACATAATGTATCAAAGTGTTACTTAAGCATTTATACATTCTGTATTCATATTCTTGTACCTTAACATTCATTTAAGGGCTATAAGTTGTATGGGAGGGGCACTCCATATCAATAATACAAGGTTAATGGGGTTGTTTACATCCTAGTACTTGTTTCTGCAATCAAGCCACTTCTCCTTATTTAGGGCTATTCCATTAAAATGTATGTGGGAGGGTAGGAAGGGACTTTCAAAATATCCCTACAACCAAGAACCATTTTGTAGATAATATTGCATAATGGTAATAGACGCATACTGAAAAAAGACCCATGACCCACATTCAATAATTAAACTTCCCTTCCTACCCTCCCACATACATTTTAATGGAATAGCCCTTATATATTTGGACAATTTCTGACACTCTAATTTCAAATAAAAATTGTATAGGTGATTGGTCTTGAAAAGTGCCTTCCAACCCCAAACTAACTGTAAACTCAATTCAGAAAATGCATTCCTCAGATCCATCCATTGACTATCAGATAGACAAAATCTTCAGTCCACCCATCCAATGGGCCAACACACTTTAATACCTCCACCCAGATTTTTAAACTTTTATAGAGTTTTCCTCAGACACATCAATTGGCCAGCAAATGGCCAAAACCTTCCACCCACCCATCCAATGGGCCAGTACACACTTAAAAACATTCCACCCACCCATCCAAAGAGAAAGTATACACTAAATAAAAACCTTCCACCCCATTTTTTAAACTTTGAACTTACAGATATAGTTTTACCAAGCCCCATGCAATAAGCCACTATACAACTAAAACTTTCCACACACAACTTTAAACTTTGAACTTACAGATAGAGTTTTACCAAGCCCCATGCAATGAGCCAGTATACAGCCAGCACCTTCAGTCTTGTCTTCTTTAAGCATCTTTAAACTTTCTACAGTACAGTTCCATAAAAACTCAACAGCTGTAAAATATCAAATATAGTTTTTATTTATAAAAAGCTGCCATGTTCATTAATTTTTTTGTTATAAATCAGGCTGTTGGTTTTCTTGTTTTCTTGTTTCGTATTTTGCCATGTCAGATCTTTAAACAGGTGTAATATGGTATTGGTTCTGCCCATTATTGAAGGTGGTACTGTGACCTGTGGCTGCTTAAATCCCCGTTATTTGGACTCTGGTGAATAATTAACTGGCAATCATAACTCATGTTCTTATTGTCGAGCCTTCGACTTTTGTCGAAAAAGCGAGACATAGCGATCCTACATTCCGTCGGCGTCATCGTCGTCGTCGGCGGCGTCCACAAATATTCACTCTGTGGTTAAAAGTTTTTGAAATTTTAATAACTTTCTTAAACTATCCTGGATTTCTACCAAACTTGGACAGAAGCTTGTTTATGATCATAAGATAATATTCAAAAGTAAATTTTGTTAAAAAAAAAAATCCATTTTTTCCGTATTTTACTTATAAATGGACTTAGTTTTTCTGCCAGGAAACATTACATTCACTCTGTGGTTAAAGTTTTTGAAATTTTAATAACTTTCTTAAACTATCCTGGATTTCTACCAAACTTAGAAAGAAGCTTGTTTATGATCATAAGATAGTATCCAGAAGTAAATTTTGTAAAAAAAAAATTCCATTTTTTCCGTATTTTACTTATAAATGGACTTAGTTTTTCTGCCAGTTAACATTACATTCACTCTGTGGTTAAAGTTTTTAAAATTTTAACAACTTTCTTAAACTATCATGGATTTGTACCAAACTTGGACAGAAGCTTGTTTATGATTAAAAGCTAGTATCCAGAAGTAAATTTTGTAAAAAAAAAATTCCAATTTTTCCGTATTTTACTTATAAATGGACTTAGTTTTTCTGCCAGTTAACATTACATTCACTCTGTGGTTAAAGTTTTTAAAATTTTAACAACTTTCTTAAACTATCATGGATTTGTACCAAACTTGGACAGAAGCTTGTTTATGATTAAAAGCTAGTATCTAGAAGGAAATTTTGTTCCATTTTTTCCGTATTTTACTTATAAATGGACTTAGTTTTTCTTCCAGTTAACATTACATACAGTCTGCAGTTTAAGTTTTTAAAACATTTATTAGATTCATAAACTATCCTGGATTTTTACCAAACTTGGACAGAAGCTACTTACAATCAAAAGATAGTATAGAGAGGAATATTTTTATTAATTTTTTTCCTCATTTTTGCTGAGCCTGTGATTAACAGCAAAAAGTAGGCGAGACACTGGGTTCCGCGGAACCCTTACGAATTTTTTTTATATGAAGTGTTTTTGTTCCAGAAATTAAAATTGCTATTGATTAGTTACAATTGAATGAGCCATACAATATGACCACTGAATACTTAAATAATTATTTTAACTCTTCCTTGTTAGTTACATAACCAAATGTGACCTATCACCAGATTTAACTTTACTATGAGGAACATAACAGGTGCCCCTAGGAGTAGGGAATCCATACTCTTTCTAAAAACATGATTTCACCCCTGTTTTTCTCAGTCTTTAGTTTTCTGTGTAAGGTTTTGTTGACTGTTATTTGTAATCTTTGACTTTTTTCTTTTGGCCATTGAATTGGCAGTCTTTCTTCCAGAAACATTTTTGATATCCCCCTTGGTATCTTCTTGCCCTTTAATTCTAGACTTTATTTCATTACCTTCCACCTGATGTGGTTTCAGTTTAGCCACAAGGTCTTGGTCTACTTCTAGTATAGGTTCGTTTGTTTCTTCCTCTCTCTCTAAAATCAGCTGTTTGGTGATGGGACATTTGGTTGGTGAAGACTCATCTACTTCCTGGATTATGTTGTTATACTGCAAATAATAAAAGTTTGTGTCAATAACACATGTAATATATTTTTACAGTACTACTGTAAATGCATAAGTTTAACAATGTTTATATTATTGGGAAAAATGTGACCAGAATGGTTTTGCAAAACATGCATTTTAAAAGATAATAGCATTATCTTTATGCAGAATTTTCTGTAATCCCAATAACTATTCTCGTACTTATGTCCATTTTTTAAAAATCACAAAAATAAATGCATGCAAAAATTTCTGAATTTACAGTATAATTTTCAGTTGAGAATTACTTAATGTACCTTTACAAACTATAATTCTGTATTTTTATTCTTCCGTGTGCTTATTTGTAGGTGTAATACCACCACTGATTTTCCCCTATTAGTCTTTGTTAAATTTTCACTTTCCAAAAAAATTTGTTTCAAATAAAGAAATACTCAGCATGAGTAAAGTTTTATCCTGTCCAGTACTATAGACAAAATTTCACATAACATTTCATTGCATATAAGAAAATAACCATCACTGGAAGTTAACCAATCAAATTTTCACCCCTTTTTTCCTGTGTACAAGCTTTAGTAACCATGGAACCTCAAGGTTCCAAAATATTCTATAGAAACACCAAATAAAAAAATAATGGTGCTTTGAAACACCCAAGATATAAGTTTATGACTCAGAAATTTTTTACTCCAATGAAATGAAGGATTAATTTTCTACAACTGTCAAATTCAAGGGAATATTTTTTTTCGACCCTTTTTCGTATGCAACCGGATGTGACGTACTATGATTTGGTGGTATTACACCTTATAAGTAAATTGACACCAACAGACTTACCTTTTTCTGTTTTTCAGTTATCCTAGCTCTCCTTTCCTCTTCAGCCCTAGAAGCAGCCTTGGTAGAGTCCTTGAGTTTTTTGTTAGACATTAACTTCCTGATATCCTTTCTCTTAGCTTTACTTGGTGATCCATCATCGTCTTCATCCTGGTCTTCCTCAGAGTCTTCCTCTCCTTTCTTTTTCCTTTTTCTTTTTTTCTACAAAAGTAATTTATGTTAAGGTAGCTTGTGTGTCTTAATGTTCGACAATAAATTTCTTTCCAATTTCAATATAAAAACTGGGGGTCACAGATCTTGTTTTTTCTTTAAAATACATTGTAATTAACGAAATCTGTTATCTTATATGGATTATATAGGGGAATCTTAAATTTTCCTTATTCAAAAAACATTAAACAATAGAATTGGTTAAAATTCAATGAGATAATTGCTTTTCATAAATATTTCCAAAATATCAAATGAAAATAGGGGATCATGGGCCTTATTTTCTTAAACAAAAACCAATCATTTAGAAAAGCTGACCAACCTTATTTTTCATCTCCTCCAATTCATCACTCTCAGCTTCTGTTTCATTCGCAGAGTCATCACCACCTTCGTCAGATGAATCTACTTTCTTTATCCGTTTTCTCTTCTTTCCTGTACCATCTTTCTTTTTCTGGTTTTTCTTGTTTTTCCCTTTTCCCTTTTTCCCCAGAGCAATGAATTTTTGGTCAGAATCAGAACTGTTATCTGATTTGTCTTCCGAAGAGCTTGCCTTCCTCTTCTTTCTACAGATAAACAATGTTAACAATCAACACACATAATATCAAGAGTTGTCTTCACTGTTCTGCCCAGCAACTGAGGGGTTAATTTTTTTTAGAACTTGACAGGATGGGACTAATCACAAAATGGGATATAACATGTTTGGGGGGAAATATCCCAAATCGGATATAAATTTACTGTGAAAATCTACTTTTATTTGTGTTCAATATTAAAATGTGTGTTTGTTTAGATCAATAATAGCAACTTTAGGTTTATGATTTTTCAAAAATCTGCAGAAGAGATTTTAGATTGATCCTTAAAACTCCAATTTCCAAGAGACCAATCTCCGAGGCTGAAATCGTATTTATTATCAGTCAAATCAGACTTTCTTTTCTTTTGGAGATGAGACAATTATCCTTTATTGAAAAATCTGATAGATAAGAATTCAACTTACTGTTTTTTATTGAGAGGTTGAAAATCTGATTCGCTGTCAGATAATTTAGCATCCAAAAGACTACTCCTCAATCTCTTTTTCTTTGGTGGAATTACTTCTTCTTCCTCTGTGTTACTGCCTGATTCTGTCTTTCCTTTCTTTTTATCACCTTTTTTCTTTTTCCTTGGTGACAGAACTATTTCTAATAACAAATAGTATTATTTAGTAAGCTTTATTTTACTGTATCACCAGTGTTTAAGCTGGGATTTTGAGGGCTTTCATCACTTTTGCCAGCTAAGACAACCAACCTTTCTTGGATAGCAGCTTAACATGATAGGACTAAGGTAGTTATTGCATAGGGTTAAATACATGAAAAAAACATGTGTACTTTCATTTACTTTTTTAGTATTTCATTAGTGTACAAATAAAAATATAACAATAAAGATTAGAACAAAACAGTTTTTCCTCCATTGATACATGTACATATTGTATGTTTTTGTTTTGATTTTAATATCTCAACATAATGGGACGAATATAATGAATCTACTGGTCAATGTTCCAGTCCTTATAATTAGCTTATGGTGTGTATATGCTACAGAATAGAGAAAATGTGCACAAAAAAATAAAAAGAATAAAGAAAAATGTGCAAAAAAAAAAAGGAAGAAGGGAGAATAATGGGTGCTTAAATATACAGAATAGAGAAAATTTGTATAAAGAATTAAAAATACAGAAAATATAAACCAAGCCTACGGTAAAATATTTTTGCATGAATAGAGTTTTTTTTTTAAAATCCTTACTTAACTGTTGTTTACATCATTATATTCCTCACAACTTCTTTCTGTGCATCATAATTGGAAATTAAAAAACAAAATTTTCAATGAGAATAGTACACTAAAATAGGATAATTCTTTCACTTTTTAAGGATGAAGATAGTGCATATCTTTAATTTTTCTAGAACTGAGAGGGGCAAGTCTATTTTCATATCTGATGACTTTCTTCAATTATTACTGGTCCCATTTATATCACAGTACCGTAGACGGCCTTGTATAGTTTGCACTGGTACATTGTACTCTATAGTCAGCACCCCTGTCTGGCAGGTTCAATTTTGGAGAATAAAACTGCGGACTATATAAGCCTGATTTCGGTATGTAGATATTTTTTTTTGCTGCAATTAGTTTTTACCCGAGTCACTACTGTCATCCACTACGTCTTCATCTTCATTTTCAGCACCACTGAGATCTTCTGTAGCATCATCATCATCTGCATCCATAGGGACCTTAAACATACAAATACACAGTTACATTAAGACAAGGCATTAAAGATGAATCAGAGAAGAGATTTTACCACACATTTGTCTGTCCAACGTCACGAACACCTTCAGTGGTTTTCTATTTTCACATCTTTGTAAGTCTGATTTAATATATTCACAAAACTTTTTTTATATTCTTGGCAGTTTAGAGATTGTTGAAGATGTATGATGACCTCTATGTGTCCTTGGTTTACCTTCTCTTTAACGTATTCACCACATCTTCTTTTATTTATACTAAATATCTAAATTTTTACAATATCATCTTGACCTTGATGTCTATATTACTTCATTTTGACCTGGAGTCTAAACTTATAAGCCTTTATTGCTACCATATGATCTGAATTTAAATGTTTCAATATCAATAATATAATCTGGATCTAAACAATCAAATATCTACAATATGATCTAGATCTAAACAATCAAATATCTACAATATGATCTGGATCTAAATGTTCAAATATCTACAATATGATCTGGACCTAAACAATCAAATATCTACAATATGATCTAGACCTAAATGTTTAAATATCTACAATATGATCTGGACCTAAACAATCAAATATCTACAATATGATCTAGACCTAAATGTTTAAAAATCTACAATATGATCTGGACCTAAACAATCAAATATCTACAATATGATCTAGACCTAAACAAACAAATATCTACAATATGATCTGGACCTAAACAATCAAATATCTACAATATGATCTGGACCTAAACAATCAAATATCTACAATATGATCTAGATCTAAACAATCAAATATCTACAATATGATCTGGATCTAAATGTTCAAATATCTACAATATGATCTGGACCTAAACAATCAAATATCTACAATATGATCTAGACCTAAATGTTTAAATATCTACAATATGATCTGGACCTAAACAATCAAATATCTACAATATGATCTGGACCTAAACAATCAAATATCTACAATATGATCTAGACCTAAATGTTTAAAAATCTACAATATGATCTGGACCTAAACAATCAAATATCTACAATATGATCTAGACCTAAACAAACAAATATCTACAATATGATCTGGACCTAAACAATCAAATATCTACAATATGATCTAGACCTAAATGTTTAAATATCTACAATATGATCTGGACATTAACATTCAAATATCTACAATATGATCTAGACCTAAACATTCAAATATCTACAATATGATCTGGACCAATATGTGTGAATCTCTTCAAATTCTTACCTCTTCATTTTCCTTGTCCTCCTCCTCCTCATCTTCCTCAACATTATCTTCCTCTGTTGAACTCAAATCATCTAAATCTGTGCCTTTCTTCTTTTCTGATAAAATATGTGTGGAAATGACAAAATTATAACTTTAACCGTGTTATTTATAAAGAGTTTATTATTATAAGACTTTTTTGTTAATTCCAACTGTTCTGTTCTCTGTTAGAGATTTCAGATTATAAGCTTGATATGTATCTTTGATGGGGTGCATATTTAAACATGCAAGTTCTTAATTATAAACCAGGTTCTTAATTATAAACCGGGTTGGTATCTTTGATGACATGTTATAACATACATGTACTATCAAATTATAAGCTTGATTGGTATATAACTTACATGTACTAAATTATGAGCTTGGTTGATATATTTGATTTCAGACTTTTTTTTTAACCCATTCATGTTCGTTTTCCAGAGTTCTCACTGAGGCAAGTTCATTCTAGACTCATGAAAATCTGTCTGGACTAATCATTTTCAAAACTGGTGAGTTCAAAGATGCATCAAGATTGTAAAATGTTTTATCAACTGAGCACATATTTCATCATTTAATAGTAAATGTTTTAAAAAAAATCTAAATTTGATGGCATTTCCTTGCTGTATTTTGTCATGGAGAGTGAAATAATAAATTATATAGCAATACATTTTTTTTCCTCACTGTTGGACTCGTCATGGCTTAAAATGGGACTCAACTTCAAAAATCCTGAGAGAGAACCCTGTTTTTATAATTAATCTCAGTCTATAAAAAATTCTACGGACACAGACTAACAATTTTACCTTTTATAGATTTTTCATCTTTCTTTTTTTCTGTCTTTTTTTCCTTTTTAGACTTTCCTTTGTCATCTTTTTCTTTTTTTCCTTTTTCTTTCTTTATCACAGGGTCTTTTTCCAACTTTTCGATTTCATCTTCAAGTTCATCATTAAAGTCAGATTCATCAGATCCTTTTCTCCTTTTATCTTTTTTTGCCTTTTTCTTTGCAGATCTTTCCCTTTCCTTTCTTTTATTCCTAAGGTCCTGGAATTTCTTTTTCTCTGCCGCTATAAATATAAATAGAAACATGGCTTTATGTGAATTCCTAACACACATTTTGAAAGTTAAGGTATATTTTACACCATGCACAATTCAAATTTATTTGTTTGAAATTTTTTATGTTTTTGTCTGTAATTTGATTTATACTCTTACCCTTTACATTTGGACAATCCTTTGGATCTCTTGGGTTTATTGATATTTGGTTGTAAGATTGCCTACAGGTAAACTAGTTCATCACTCAGAAAAATTGTTTCTTATGTTTAACCTGCTTTGCAGCAAATATGATTTACTTTGTCAAAATAATATTTAAGCAGATAAAAATAAAGTTTTAAAGCAAAAATTAGACAAAACCACATTGTTTACATACAAAAGAACAACTTGGGGACACATGACAGAAGTGTACACATATTTTATGCAATCCAACTCCATTGTAAGTTATTAAGCCATAATCAGGATGCAAAAAACAGGTTTTTTTTATATAGCAAAAGTAAAGTTCCAGTCAATGCATTAATGAGTTTGCCGACGTTCCACACTTCAAGGAATACTCCGTCAGTTGAGTTAACTGAACTCGTATCTAAGTATGGGATAATCACTTTCATGTTTTGTGACAAAATTCCATGCACTTGATCAACCATTGGTTGCATTGATTGGCTTGCACGCCTTTATTTACAAAAAAAAAAAAAAAAACTGAATCCAAAATGTTTTCGACTGTAGCAATTTTTTTTTTTTGAAAAGCATACTTTATACATACATATCTAAGATGTAAGTACATTATTACCTTTCTTGTCCGATCTTCTCGTTCTCCTTTCTGATTTAACATTAAAATCTGAATCTTTAGAATTATCAGAATCTTCATCATCACTTTCACTACCACTGCTTGAATCATCATCACTACTTTCATTCTTATTAATGGATTTGTCATCTTCCATTTTCCCATTCTTTTCAATGCTCTCTTTTTTTACCCTAGATTTTTCCTCTTCCTTTTTTTGCTTGCCCTCTTTTTTATCCTTGGATTTTTCCTCTTCCTTTTTTTGCTTACCCTCTTTTTTGTCCTTCGATTTTTCACCTTCCTTCTTTTCATTTTTTTGCTTGCCCTCTTTTTTATCCTTCGATTTTTCCTCTTCCTTATTCTCCTCTACAGCACCTGAAAGTTCCTGTAATTCCTGCAGTAATTCTAGATGTGCTGCATCATTTTCAGCTTCCGTTGATGACTCATAGTCAGATTCTTTGTCATTTTTCTTTTCTGACTTTTGAGGGACATCAGACTTGGTTTCATCTGATTTAGATTTTTTAGAGTCCTCTGATTCTTTGGATTGATCAGAGGTTTTGTCTTCTGATATCATTTCAACATTCTTATCTCCATTTGTTAAAGATTCCTCTTTTTTCTCATTTTTGTCTATATCATTTGATTTGTCTTTAACATCTTTACTATCAATACTTATTATATCACAACTTGCTGTATCTTTTTCAGAGTTATTGCCCTTGTCACTATCAGTTATTTCTTCCACTTCCATTCTGCTTTCGTCTGAATCTAACACAATCAAATCTTTTTCTGATGTACTTATCAATGAGCTGTTACCTCCAGTTAATTTAACTCCAGCAGTTTGTGATGTCTGAGATGGGACTGCAGGAGCTAGCATTTTAGATGCATTGGTCTGTACAATGTCAGTTCCAACAATACTCGATAACTGTCCAAGAAATAAATCCACTCCACTTTTCATACAAGTTATAGCAGTCATTCTTCCCTCGAAGGCAATATTAGATAAAGCATTGCTAGAACCCTGTACATTAATTCTGACAGATTTTAACAAGCTGAGTAATTCATTAGTTGACTGCATCAGCTGGTCAGTGATAAATGGTACATTTTTAGCCGTTACGTTGGTCCAGTTCAATGGATTTCTAGCCTGCTGACTAGGAGGAACAGAACTCATCATGGGTACATTGTGAGGTTTAGGCTGGACGTATACCAGCTGTTTAGCAGAACCCTTGGTTGGTTCTACGAAGATGATGTTCTGTTTTGCTGTATTATTATACATTGATTGAAGTGGTGCTAGAGTCTGTTTTGGATTAACAGCCTGTCTTACAAAGTTGGCAGATTTTGAAGTCCATGAAGTAGATGGATTGATAGCAGGGTATTTAATCATACCTGGTGCTGATAGAGAATTGGTCGATGGAATTTTAACCATGCCTGATGTACTTACTGAAGTCTCTTTAGACTTTGGTGTTGATGTTTTTGGTCCCATACCTGGAAATTTTATAACCAGTGATTTATTTGTTGTTGCCTTACTTTTATCCTCTTCTTTTGTTTTATCTTTACTGTCTGATTTACTACTTGATTTTTGTTTCTCAGCGTCTTTTTTCTTCTTTAATGATTCGTTGAGCTTTTCATATTCTTTGTTAATCATATCTAGCACAGAATTACATTGTTCTACCATGGCAGCAAGTGGTGCAGGATCGCACACATAACATTTGAATTTATCCGCTACAAAATAAGTGTAATAATGATTTAGTTTTTGTAGTTAAGGGCACTGTAGTACTGACATAGACTCTCTTACCCAGGGATGTCTTCTGTTTAATGTTTTGTGGACTATTTTTTTCCCTTTCCCCCCTTGGCCGTATATATGTTTAAATTTTTTAACTTGTGATTTTTAATGCCCTCTTTGAATCTTCTTAATGCCCTCATTAATGGTTTTTTGTTTGTTATAAATAGATATACTCTATAAAACAACAATTTTATATAAGTGATAGTTCTTTTCAAGAGGTTTAATAGAGCTATTTTAGTAAACAAAATCTCTTTCCATAACAAGTTAACTTAGCATTTTATCAGCTATACCTAAGCACCAATCAATATTTCTGATTTTTTTCATATCTGGAATAGCCAATATCTTGAATGAATGTGATGGTTTGTATATAAAATGTAGGTGCTGGAAATTCTTTTCTTTTATTCTATTAAATTTTCAGCCCTATTCAATATACCTGACCAGTGGCGGATCCAGAAATTTTCATAAGGGGGCCCACTGACTGCCCTCAGAGGGGGCCCGCTCCAGTCATGCTTCAGTGATTCCCTATATAATCAACCAAATTTTTCCCACAAAAAGGGGGGGCCCCGGGCCCCCTGGATCTGCCTATGCTGACAATTAACAAGCAAAAAAGAAACAGGATTTGCACAACTTTTATTTCTATCTCTGATCACTTATAGAGGCAATTATATCACTTACGGTTTCAGTGAACAAAAGTATTGGACAACCAACCCCTGGTTGAGATTTCAAAGGGTCTTCCCTGTGTCCCTAATATATTTTTATGGATCAGTATAAAGTAAGGCTATGTTGTATGATTGCCAGTGAGAATATATCAACCAGAGTCCAAATGACTTATTCTAAGATCACCATTATAAGTTGTATTATAGATCATAAATGCAAAGCAGTTTTTGTATAGATAACATACAATACTTACCATCCTTAACTTTTGAAAATTCAGCACGTCCAAGATTTCGTTTGATACAAGCTTGACAAAATGCATTATGACAATAATCACAACCAAACAAATTGCCACCTTCACTACACCAGCGGCAATATTCATCAAGTCCATCTTCATCTTGTTTTATTACACCACTTGTATGGAACTTGTAACATCTCTGTAAAAAAAAAACCAATATATAAATTCCTTCAACTCTCTAAAGATTCAAATTTCACTGATTCAGGTATTGGGTATTGACTATTATAATTCAAGTAAATAAATATTCATGCTTCATAAGCATTTCTCATTTTTTTATATAGATTAGACCGTTGGTTTTCCTGTTTGAATTGTTTTACACTAGTCATTATGGGGCCCTTTATAGCTTGCTGTTCGGTGTGAGCCAAGGCTCCGTGTTGAAGGCCGTACTTTGACCTATAATGGATTAAATTTTACACATTGACTTGGATGGAGAGTGTCTCATTGGCACTCATACCACAACTTCTTATATCTATTTACAACAACAAAAAGATTTTTTAATCGATTCTCGCATAGGTTCTGTTATTTAACGTACATTTGGTCCTGTAATATGTCAATAATGACTTTAGCCATTGTCAGATTGAATTTTTAACAATGTGTTTTAATAATGTATAAATATCCATAACTTTGAAAGGGGGGTTAAAATTGACTTGACAACATTCAATAATAATAAATCAACAGTATAAACCATAAAAAATTTGATACTGTAAATTCAGAAATTATTGCGATGTTTTTATTATTGCGAAAAATGCGACAGGGTTATAATCGCAATAATTTAAACTCGCATTTTGAAATTTTTTATATGAATTAAACAGAACTTTTCTCAATATCGCAAAAATTGAAATCGCATTTTAGTCTAAAATGACAAAGTCGCAATAATAAATGCACGCAATAATTTCTGAATTTACAGTATCTGGATATGAGAATCAGGATTGAGTTAATTATTAGAGTAACCTTAACAATGAAATCATTAAAAATCTTCCCATTGTGCTATTGACTTTAATGAACTACCCAATGGAAGGCATTAGTTTTGCAGGTTAACAGATTTTATTTGACTCTCAAGCATTTGTGAGTTCTTAACACAAGACAAGTCTATTACATTACTGTTAAGCTCACTGAGGTCAGAGATCATGGCTTCCAGATTTCTTACACCTTCTCCACAGAAACATTAGAACATGACTTATTTTGCATGTTCTTAATAAAACACAATGCATGTCTCTTTCCTGGCATATTGATCAGAACATGTGTAATGTTGCCTGTTAATAACTGTTGCGAGTTGTTAACGAAACACAATTCTCTTACCTGGCTTACAGATCAGAACATGTATAATGTTGCGTGTTCTTAAAAGGAACACATATCTCTTACCTTACATATAAGCACACTGAGTTCTGGGTGACGTCTTGCATCTCCTTTTTTACTTGTGTTGATCTGATCTCCACAAGCTGAACAGTTTACTGTGGCTAAATACCCAGTAGCCTCTGTAACAGGAATAATGAATATGTTAAAGGCAGAAGAATATTAGAGTATACATTTCTTGTGTAAGGAGCAACAACTGTATAGTAAGGAAAATATAGACTGAATTTTTTTTTCACTAATGAATTAAAGACAACCAGAACATTAAAAATTTCAAACAATACAATAATTTGTAAGGGTTATAATATGTAAGTATAAGTTGTCTAACTTAGTTAAAATTCATGTAAAATCTGTCTGTATCATGGAGGTTAAACTATCCGATATGAACTTTCATTTTTCAGGGTTCCTTTTAAATGTATGTAATATAATTGTAATCAACTTTATAGCTTAAAATTGCAGTTTTTTTATATTTGGTTTTCTTTCAATTTCTAAATCTGACAAAAACATATCTTTATTAAGTTGTGATCGTGTGATCATGATTAAATTTGGACAGAACAGATTAACAAACCTAAGACTTTCTTTTTGCTTGATGGGAATTCTGGACCTTTAAAGGCACTCTCTTCCACTGGTTCTGGTTCTACTACAACTGTACCTGCGTAGGACAATAAACCTTTACAAGAAATGGCCAAAGTATTGAATATAAAAATGTCAATATTTCATCATATTAAAACATACAATAAAGAAATTTTTGTTGAAAAAAATCCAACCTGCAATAAACTGCACAATATCTCTACTTGAGACACGCAGAGCATTTTCTGTTTTTAAACTTTACAGATGTTCCAGTTTTCTGACTATAACTCTAAAAAAGGTTTTGAACAATTTTCATGAAACTTTGGTGAATTGTTTTTATATATTGACATCAGTTACCTATCAATTTAAAAAAAAAATAATTAAGATTTGAGTATTGGGACATTATTCATAAATAAACAGCTGTGCCATGAGCGCATGATACGCCCGTCGCATTTTCAAAGAATAAAGTTCAATCACTTCTCAATGTCATATCAGAAATTTATGAAAATCGAAATGGAGCTTTTGTCAATAGATTTAAACAATTCACCATAGTTTCATGAGAACTGCTGAAAGCATTTTTGAGGTATTGTCCGAAAACTGGAAAATCCCCCCTTTTTTAATAAATAAAAACACCACAACTCCGAAACGTAAAATCTAAAATTTATAAAATTTGAAAGGGAGCTGACATCAATAGATATAAACAAATTCACTAAAGTTTCATGAGAACTGCTTAACGCATTTTGGAGTAATTGTCCGAAAACTGCCCCTTTTTTTAATGAATAATACCACATAACTCAGAAACGTAAAATCTAAAATTTATGAAAATGGAAAGGGAGCTCATGTCAATAAATATAAACAAATCACCACAATTTCTTGCAAATAGGTGAAAGCATTTTGGAGTTATTTTCCGAAAACAGGAAAATCCCCCTTTTTTTAATGAATAAAACCTCATAACTCGGAAACATAAAATCTGAAATTTATAAAAAACGAAAGGGAGCTCACGTCAATAGATATAAACAATTCACCAGATTTTTATGCTAATTGGTTAAAACATTTTTGAGGTTATGTCCGACATGTTGACGACGGACGGACAGACAGACGGATAACGGTATACCATAAATACGTCCCATAAGCGGGCATATAAAAAGGGTGGATTTTCCAGTTTTCGGACAATTACTAAAAAATGCTTTGAGCAGTTTTCATGAAACTTTGTAGGCTTGTTTATATCTACTGAAGTTAGCTCCCTTTCGTTTTTTTTTGGATAAATTTCTGATATGACATTGGGGAGTTATGGAACTTTCGAGCTGAAAGGGCTACAGGCGTATCATGCGCTCATGGTGCAGCTCTTTATTTTAGATCTCCTGATGATTCTTTTCTGTGTGCTACAAAGAACATGATATAAATGATTTTCATAACAATCTACCTTCAGGAAGGTCCTCTGGAATATCTTCATCTTTATTTTGGCTGTCTCCATTGGTCATACGACTGTCCTCGTCATTTGTACTGGTTATATCATCTTCTTCATCTGATAACACTTTTCTTGTTACCAGTGGTTTTCTAAAATCATCACAATGCTCAACTTTGTAGCATGGCATTAATTGACATTTCATAATCACAATTAAGATATTTGTTTAACATTTCAATGCAAAAGAATTATTTTACACAATCAAATTTCAAAAAATGTTTTGAAACAGAATATCTATTTATATTTGTAATTATCAATTGACTGGAACCAAAAATGTATAAGAGCAGATACATAACATTCACCCAACAGGTTTATAACTATAAATACTAGACATTGGTCAATCTCTTTGAAAATGTCTCTCATGTTTACAATGAACCTGGCTTGCATGGAAATAATTTTAGAAATAAATTATTTAGTTTGTCATGACAATATTTAGAGTATCACAAAAATGTAACTGTGCTGATGTTCCACACTTCAAATGATGCACTGTCAGATAATGAAACTTTCAACTATGAACTAGGTAAGAACAATATTAAGCATTTCAAAAAGACAAAATAATGATTTTTAAGGGCTTGTGACCAAATTCATTGTCCTTGATCGGCTTTTAATACTGTAGTTACAACATTGTACAAAGTCTAAAGAGATTCAATAAATGTCCTGCTGGCCTAATTCCATTTTTTTAGAACCGGTCCATACATGTACATATACATTTATATGTATCAATCAGAAGTCAATATTTTACATACTACTGGTGTATTTGTTTACAGATTAGTATTGATCAGATACATATACATCATTTAGTTTATATGTGTACACTTTTAGCATATATACATGTAGAAGACCTACATTTTTTGGTTGAACAAATCATCTCCCAAATACACTTTTAAGATTAGTTGCTGTTCATTCATAGCCTTTTATATAATCTATATTCTAACTTTTATTTAGTACGTACCTTCTTCTTGAAGATGACATCTGAAATAAAGAACATAACATAAATTAATTTTTATTTGCTTCAACAATATTTAATGCTGACTAGCTACTTTAAATTATGAAAGGAGTATTTGGCCTCAAATATTAAGTCCATTATTTCAACATGTACCAGATGAAAACTTTAAATTATAAAAGGAGTATTTGGCCTCAAATATTAAGTCCATTATTTCAACATGTACACGATGTACCAGATGAAAAGCCTAAGTGTTTCAAATCGATGCATAAACATGTGAGAAAATGAAGGAGACCTTGTCTACATGCAGTGTTTTCCCTAGGCTATTCAAGCATTGTGGTACCGCTACGCATAAATTTTGACCGCCATGTTTCGATCATTGCCGCAATGCATCCCGCTATGTGTGAAAATTATAACTGTGTAAAATATTTATTATCGATATTTTGAAAGTGAAGTGACAAGTGACAACACTCCACATGTGTTTTAAACTCATCCGACTGATCATTGGATGCATCACGTCGTGCGTGCCGGGATTTTACAACCTTCTTGATTAGTTGGTTATATATCAAAACTTTGGTTACATGATAGAAGTTGCCAGTTAGCTGATAAATAAATAGTCAGATTAATCTCCAATGCATATCTTTCTGTGCTTAATAAAAAGTTTCTTTTCCAGTATAAATTTCACCTTTAAAACGGGTGTTTGACATCGTTATTTTCTCGTTATTTTACTGTGATCATTAAAAAGTAGAAATTTAAAATTTGGTATAGTCTCCGGTATTATAAAATAAAACTAACGTAATTTACCGAGAATGGACAAAACTTTTGTTTTAATAAAGTTTCGCAGGTTTTTCATCAGCTATATTTACATCGATGAATTATTTTTTGATTGGTCACAACAATCAGTTATTTATAGATTAGTCGCGGTTGATTGATTATATCAAAGAAAACACATCACCGCCACCGGGCCGAGAACAAGACGTGTCTCATGAAATATTTAAGATTTGATAGAAAAACTTTCAAAACATATGTAGTTATTTACGGAAATATTGTTTTTAATAAACTTGTGTTGTTCTATTTTTATTTCAATGGGTCACATGAAGCTTAAGTGTAGCGGACTCATTTGCCGTTTTTTACCCAAGTGGGGCTAAATTTCTTTCACTTCGGCAAGATAGGATTTTAACAATTATGAAGCGTTATGAATAAATCGGACAGGGATGTATTAAAAAAAAATAGTTACAAATTGTCATGAAATAAAATGTCAGCTTAGCTTCCAAACAATGTCATCTGTATGTCCGTATGTCAGGTATTCTTCATTGACGACTTCTGTTATTAACGCAAATAAACTTTGTTTTATTGTTTCCTGTAAAATCTCTGTGAAGCAATGATGACATTCAAAGTTTTATTTAACAACTTGCTGTTGATGCTGAAACCATTCTATCAGCAAACTGAGGACACTGTTAGTGAAAAGTAAAATCACAAAAATACTGAACTCCGAGGAAAATTCAAAAAGGAAAGTCCCCAATCAAATGACAAAATCAAAAAAACAAACACATCAAACGAATGGATAACAACTGTCATATTCCTGACTTGGTACAGGCATTTTCTTATGTAGAAAATGGTGGATTGAACCTGGTTTTATAGCTAGCTAAACCTCTCACTTGTGTGACAGTGAAAGAATGTAAAGCCATGACATTTAGCTATATATATAGGCAGACAATGAACAAAGTTTCCAGTCTTTGAACTTTGTATCCTTGTCTGTCTAAGTATGCAGCAATTGGTCTTCTTTTGCCAGTTTCAACAGCTGATTGTGAAAGGTGTTTTTCATGCTTAAACAGAGTTAAAACACCTTTGAGAAAAAGACTATGCCAAAAAGTGCTGAATTGCTTAATGCATTTATCAATTGAAGGACCAAAGGAGGAAGATTTTGATTTTGAAAAATGTGTGGTGACCTTTGGAAAGTTGAAACAGAGGAAGATATCAACAAAATAATGTGTACATGGCATTAATTTGTAAATAACTATTGCAGACTGGATTATTTTTATTATTGTTTATAAAGTCTTTCATTAATTCCTCTCATCTGTAATAAATACTTTAAAGTTCCATGACTTATATGAATTGCTGTACCTATAATAAAACAATTAGATTGGTATATGGCTTTAAACATATAAATTATGTAGTGTAACTAATTCTGGAAAAAGAAGCATCGCGTGCCGCGTTGCAAATTCACCATTGACCCACCATGCATGAAAAATTTTCTAGGGAAGACACTGACATGTAACTTTTCTTATAATAAAGCATTAAGATTTACATCCCAAAATGGCCAAAAATGGATGTACATGTACAAGCAATTTTGGTGAAGGTTGACACAATCCTTTTGATTTAAATCACATTATAGCCTCTAAGAATCATTATCAATGATTACGATACTAAGAGTACAATGTTCAACAAACATAATGTTAACAACATTTTGTTTATACCCGCATTACCCCACCACCCATAATTTTTATTTCCACTTGTAACATAATTGCATAGAGGTTTAGCGCTATAAAACCAGGTTCAATCCACCATTTTCTACATTTGAAAATGCCTGTACCAAGTTAGGAATATGACAGTTGTTGTCCATTCGTTTGATGTGTTTTGTCATTTGATTTTGCTATGTGATTAGGGACTTTCCGATTGAATTTTCCTCGGAGTTCAGTATTTTTGTGATTTTACTTTTTTCCACCCCTATTACCCACAGTCATGACAGAAAAAATATCATGTGGTGTCCAACACTCCCAAAAATTTTCTCCAGGAATAGCCCAAAGGGAAATTAAAAATCATGAGATGTCACAATGTCTGAATGGCATTATATGGTTAAGACACAGAGAAAAACCCACCAGTTCCAAAAAGTGGTTAATGAGGAGTTAAAGATACAAACTGGATAAGATTCAGAGTCTAGAGAGATTTTCTGATTTGTGCAGCATCAGAATTTCTTATCAAGCCCAGTGACTTTGCCACCGCTCGTCAATAACTACCTTAGTGCTATTATGTTAAGGTACTACCCAAAAAAGTTCGCAAAAAATGACTAAAGCATCAAAATCCTAGCTTAAACAGACAAGTTTAATTAACTTTATGCAGGGATAACTATTAAAACTATGGGTTCTGAAAGGGAAATTTTTCTACTTTTCAATGTATGGAATGGTACTGTAGGCATTAAATTGGTTTGTTGAGGGTGTGGTAGTTGAAGGGATTAGGATAATTCTCTGAAAAAAGCAATGGCAAAGACCTTGATTAGCAAAGGGAAACAACCAATAATAATCAAAATCAATAAACAATTAAGATGTGCAAATGCATGGTTAAGATTCTGAGAAAGTTTAATTAAACTTAGGGGTTTCGGAGAATCAGAAACATGTACACATGAATTTTGTAGTTAGAGATCCAGACAAAGACGTCCATACTTACAAATGTGCATGTATGCCGAAGTATATTGTAAACTACAAAAATCTTTCAGATAAAGAAAAAAAATAGCAAGTGTAACAGTACTTCATGTGAGAAAGGTTATGTGAAAGTTTTTCTGATTTGACCTCGCATATAATTTCTTATCAAGCCTGCTTTACTCTTTTCAGGGATAATTTTAAAACTATGATTCTAAAAGGGAAATTTTTCTACCTTTCAATTCTTTTCACTTCCATTTTGGTGATGCCCAATATTACAGTAGAAAAATCAATAAAAAAAAAAAAAAAAAAAATCGGGAAAATTTCCCGAAATTTTCATTGTACTAATGAACTCAAAATTGTTAACTTTTTTTTTGTAACTTTTTTTAAGTCCCGCATTTGCGCAGAAATCTACTTCCTTCTTCTGGTCTCGTTTGTCATGAGACTTTGAGTGAAATATATATTTATCAGTCCAGTAAAATATACGAAGGAACACAATAACAATTTCATTTCTAATTATTCTTTGATATGAAAAAACGTTACCTGATGATAGCGTTTCTTTGTTTACATTGAATATGACGTCATAACTAAAATAACGTCACAACTAAAATCCCTAACAACAGGACCAAAATCGGAAACGTTACGGTATTTCCGTTTCTTTTTTAACAGATTTAGAACTTAAAATATATATGTTTGAATTAAAAAAAAAAATTTATATAGACTTCGTCCCCTTTCACAGGTAATGCCTGCCTCATATTATTGTTATTTAGCTATCTGTGACACTTAAACTTTTGACATTATAACAATCACGTTTCTTTAAATGGTGTCAAGATATTTTCTCTTGTGAAGTCAACTGACAGCATTTACAACAAACGTCTGTGATGTCCAGTAATGGCAGGTGAATAATGATAAGGTCCATAATGAAACTTATTCTTTTATCATATTGCCATAATTTGACAGTAATTTTACCTGCAAATTTTATTATATGTAAGCCTCAAACCTATGTTGAGTCTTAAATCTGTGTCCTATTCCATATTGCGTCATAGGCATCACAAATCTATGTCCTTTCTATTCTCAAATCTGTGTCTTTTAAAAACAAATTATACACTGTCCTATGGTGATGTCATAGTTATCAAATTTCTTCAAGGAAATATTTTTGTTGTCAAAGATTTCATATTCAAATTAAATTAACATCAGTTACGGCCATTGAAAAGATTTGTGACTTTTGTCTACATTTTTGATTGTTGAATTTTCATTTTTTGGTGCTTTGTGTCGATCTGACGAGTCAGGCAAGCCCCTTTTCAACTAATTTCTACAGTTTGCAACATTACACAAGTCTCAAGATTATGGATGGTAGGGATGAGGGCATTAACCCCGCTGCATTCTATATGTGCCTGTCCTAAGTTAATAGGTCTCATTACTAAAAACCTACTTTATAAACAGAACAGAGATTTGAATAAAAAAGAACAAACACATTTAATTTTCATGCCATCAGGGGACACAGATCTGAGGAAAGGCAACAAATTTGAGGCTGGACATAGAACCACAGATTTGAGTGTCACGATGTCACAGGACACAGATTTGACTGTTATATCTTATGATCTATTCATCAAAACCTGATAAATTATATCAAATGTTAGCCTAAAAGTTAGATTTTTTCCATTCAGGTTTTTTTTAATGAAAATGCAGACAACACAACATTGCAGACCTTAAAGTGAAATCATAAAATTCTAAATATACAAAACAAATAAGAAACTATAGTTTGAGAGGGAAAAAATCAGCTGCAATGATGTCATCTTCTACATATCCCTCAATTATTGAATGATTAAGAGGACAGCCCAAAAAGAAAATGTCTCTGAAATAAAATTATGTCATTCCTTCCCCCCTTTTTGCAGTTGGTTCTCTTAGACTCAGTATCAAGTGCCTGTTCAGCTTACATTTGCATAATGTAAAAGATGAATATCTTTTATTTTATTTGTAAGTGAATATTGCTTATTTTAGTAGAATTTATAAAGGCAGAAATCTTTTTCTATGCAGCACCAGAAATTTTGACTGGGTGGAACGATTTTGATTTGATCTTTCGTTTTTTAATAAGTTCCAAAGAAGCTTCAAAATGAATACAGACTTTGTCAATTTTGTAATTTCTATATATTTCTTAGTTTATTTATCATTTCAATGACTATTATACATATTAAACAAAGAGCGACCACCGATAACAGGAAATAATGTTATCGACAAAATTTGCGCATGCACCGGTTAGCATACGATAAGAATTAATATACATTCGGAAAACCCGCGGAGTACAAAATATCTACTTTGGTTAATATGTTTCAGCAAAACTTACCGTTCCAGATCTATACTGTTATGTTAAAAAATATTAGATTATAAATGCTATTCCATAACGATTTATTATTCTTTTCTGTACAAATGGCGGCAAACGGAAAGGACGTAGAAGTCACGTGACAGCCTCGTTTTGGCCACCTAATTAGCATAATTTATGCATGACGTCACATAACTCATTTGCATATAATTTGCATAAATACAAGGTCAAGGTCATATTTTCAAGGTCAATGAAAAATCGGTACCCATGACGTTTTTCAATCCTTAGGACGTCGAAAGTAAACGTTTTTCAAAAGTGACGTTTCTTCATTTTGTCACGCAATTCCTCACTTTTTGACGGAAAAAGTAACGCACATTCCTACAGATTAATGAATACTCTAACTATTTGCATCCATAAAGCAATGTGATTTGACGTTTGATTTAATTCTGTGAACGACATTATACAAACATTGAATCGAGTAGACGTCAAATAAAAAGTTCCTCAAAATATTACCGAAGGGCCGCCATTAAATGTAACTCATATCCGTATGCCAATAAAAATTCATTTTTTCACGGCGAAAATATCCGTTCTGTTGATCGTTCTTCAGTGACGTTTATTTAATATAATCTCAGCGTACAGTACTGAAACATTGAGGCATGTGATAACAAAATTATTTTGTTTTATTATCCGCTCGAGTTATCTTCCCTAGACTGAGAAAATAAACGCTCTGTGTCTCTTTTTATCAAACGAATAAACTCAACTAAATCATTTTTTGTCACGTGCTTGGTGTAGAGGTATCATACGTTTTCCATGCACCACTGTAACCAGCCTCGCTCATCACTAACATTAAATCATCACTCGCCAGAAAATAATATTTGCCCCAAACTCAATTCACCCGGTTTATACATATATATTTATACCAAATTTAAAATAATTTACCATAAATCTTAAGTGAGCAGTTATAATGTTAGTAACAAGCTAAATGAAATGCTTGTAAAATGTTAAATGAGATGTTTGTAACTCATTTCAAATAACACTGATGTGTGAACTTCACCATTTTTGTTTACCTTTTTTACGGAGGAAAATATGTGCCGGCTTAATTATTGACCCAGATTTCAGGAAAAGGAATATCTGCATATTTTTTAATCCCATAGCCACACTTCAATTATTCAAAAGAAAATTAAAAGTGCCGATAAATTTCCAAACTGATAACTTATACGTTATTTTATTTGCATATGATTGCAAATTAACATATTAAACTCGGAATTGTTGCGCAATGATTTTCATAATCTCCTAGTAATTGTCCAAGGCAAACTAGCTTGGCCGATGTGCAGCCACAGACCGTCACCAATAATGATAGGTCATATAAACACATTACCAGTTAAACCTTTACTATTTAATCAGTCAAGATATTTTCTAACTGGAGCAGAACAGAAAAAAATCAGCATTTGGACGAACCTAAATCAAGTCAATGCGGGAACAAATATTATAGTGAGAATTTTAGTAATTTAATGTGCATTTATAATATTTACAATATCTAAGCTACTACCGGTGGATTATCGTTAAATAATAAGAATATATATATAAAATATATGGTCCCTCCTCCGATCGACCTTCAAGCGGATAAACCTGGGGTCAAGGTTACCACGGAATACCACAACCGATAAATTATATATATAGCCTTATTTTTTCATAGTTACTTATTTTTTCGCAATACGCAATTTCATTTCTTTAAATTGAAAAAAAAATCTTGTCTAAAATTTGTAAACGTGTTTGTTGTATCTGTCTTGTTATTTCAGCGAACCTCTGATGTTCATTCACTATCTTTAGTGTGTCTAAGTTTTAACACAAAAATTAGTTTTATAAAGACGAAGGTCATATATTTATAAAATAATTGAAGTTTTCTTTATTCGTGTGAAATAATGAAATGAGAAAAAGATACGTGTTACTTATAGGGAAGGAAACATTTATATGTAATCAGGACGGAATTCGACATCGTATCTGGAAATGCATATTACATACAACAACGTTAACGTGAAGTGAAAATGTATAAATAGTTTTTTTAACAATAAACAATTGAAGATTGTAAAGATTATAGATGGGGGTGTAAGTGTTATATAGTAAAGACTGAGAAATAATCAGAAATCTAAAAATACAGCAAACAAATGAGTTTTTAAACAAAACATAATATATGAGCATCATATGTCCCTCCTACATGAAAGAAGTTTCGTAAATAAAATGGATAGGGATCTTATCATGTTAGTGTCAATATATCAGAAAATAAGACGCAACGACGCAGTGTAAGACTCAATGATTTGTGACATCTTTTTTGTCTTACTGATTTTTAATAGAAACGAACTAGTTTGCAAGCTTTTTGTTTTAAAGAGTAAATTGTTAGATTCTAATTTTCTTCAAACATATCATTTGTTTCACCATCATCTAATCTACTTTAGACATATTATACAGTAACACGTTGTAGTTTGATTTACTTGCTTGACAAGTTTGTTCAATGGGATGAAATACCTTTTATGGGACGATTTTATGATAAAAAATTATATATTTTTCAATCAAAAGGGATGCATACGCTCTCTACGCCCCCCCCCTCGAATTAGCCACTTGATTCAATAGTTTATATTTGATAGTTTTTGATTTAAATGGTTATTGAGCAACAAACTCAGTACTATATAAAATGCAAGAGTTGTCTCTCTTATAGCGGTTTCTCCTGTTATAGATCTATTTTTGTAAAATTTTTGTATTACATATTTTCCAACCGAAGCTTTCTTTAATAAATTGGTAGAAGGAAACGTGGCGGACAACCCAACGACACAAATAACAAAAAATATTTCTGAATTTTTAATACATGCGATTTCTATACATTATGTTAATTTAAGAATCACCATGACGTTGTAAAAAATCGCTCTACACAATCCCTCAAGTCGTCCTGTCACTTTTCAGAATTGAATAAGGAAATAGTAAGCAATGTCAAAATTTAGCCAAAAATCCGCTTTTAACCTAACTATAAACAGTCGCTTTACAGTTATCGTCTGTCGTGTTTGTTTTTCGTTTAGTGTTGTTTGGCTTAAATCATGTCGTTGGTTTTCTTGTTTGAATTGTTTCACATTTTGTCATGTCGGGGCCTTTTATAATTCATAGCTGACTATACGACATAGGTTTTGCTCATTGTTAAAGGACGTAATAGCTGTTTACATTATCGTCCACCCTGAAGTCCTTTCATAGACAAATATGGTTCACTTGGGAAAAACTTCCGAGTCAGTTTTCCCATGTAAGTATCTCTTGTAGCTTACATTTGTCTATATGTGAAGTTGTGGTTTTTGCGACTTCTACTGTCAGATGATAGACGATACGCAGATGGAAATGCTACGATTCGATGGACAATTTTAAAAAATGTTGGCTCCGATGATCATTTGTCTGACCAAGCGATGCAACGTTGTTCTCAGCAGTGACACTTATGCAATTCGGGTATCAACTAGAGTGAAGCAAGTATACTTGCTTTCAGTAACCGCGAGTACTTTTATATCGATACCATGTGTCATTTGTCTCTTTGTTAGTTGTTTTCGTGATAAGTAGAAATCCAAGCATGCAAACTGTATACAGATATACAAATACACATAAATAAGGATTATTAATATCCCACCCACCCTCGCTTATTTCTAACATTGTTAACCCTGTTGAGTTATTGTAATTCTTTTCATTTGAAAATATTAAAACTGATTAAATGTATTGTACTGAACTTAGCATTCTTATAGGATTTATATATCTATGTCGTTTAAAAATAATTTATAAATACTAAGCTTTCATTTGTTTTGTATCTGTGTTTTAAATAAAAAAAATCATTGTATTTGTTAGTCTTGAGAGTTAAAAAAAAAATTAGAGCAACGAATGGCAGTCAAACAAGTGCGACCTTCCCTTTACCTGGTTTAGTTGGTTCTGGAACTTTAATCTTCCGTCGATTCGTCGACATTAATACCTGACAACTTGGGGTTATAAACAGAGAAAACTTTGACGAATTTGAACATTAGCTCTATTTGGTAGCAAAGAGAACACAACAATTTCCCGCGAAGATGTCATTGACAGTAAAAGCCTATTTGGTAAAGAAAGGAGAGAAACAGAGAGAAATACGGAGATTTTCTGTGCCTGCTGATGTTTCGATCAGTTTCAGTTATCTTCAGGAGAAAGTTTTAGAAACTTATCCTAATTTAAAACAAGGAAGTTTTAATCTGTTTTGGACAGGTAGGTCCAGATTTCTTTAAAATGTTAAATTAACTTTTAACTTTTGAATAACGATGCGACAATATCGATAGGCTATACATTATTTTTCTTGTTATTAAATCTGTTATAAAACTGCTAGTTAACAGGATCTTGTCTGTTATTTGATAATCTAAGAGATCAGAAAAAGGGTGAATGACCTTGACAACCATTGAGGGTTAACAAGGTTGATACATTTTCTGCAGTATGTTCGTTTTTGAGCAAGGAAGTTTTTAGCTTAGTATATTTCCACCATCTATTTTATTTTTTGTTCAATTTTAAATTCGACCTCACCTGTTCTGTTAAATGTCCTTGCTATTTCATCATGCATGTATATTTTGGAATTTATCCTTTTTAATTTGCTTTATACTAAATATCAGGATTATTGTCGTTGATAAATTTTACATTATCTCATGGTAGATAGTTCTGGCTAATACATAAAACTTGTAAAGAAAGAATTTTTTTCCCCAAAAATTGAAATCAAGAATCACTAAATGTATGAACATTAAAGATGAACAGAACACTAGTTATTCTACAGATTAAAACATTAACAAATATATAATTTTTTTTTATTGTATGCCTACAAAGAAAATACTCTTAGCTATAACGAAAAAGTTACTTAGATCAACAAGAATATGTTAAACATTTTTACAGCTATACTTTAGAAAGATATTGGAAAAAGGCTGAAAATCCGGGGCCGGTTTCACGAAGCTATCCTAAGACCTGTCATAAGATATATCTTAGGACATGTCTTATGACCCTCTTATGACTATCCTAGGACATATCTCAGACCACGCCTCGAAGCTGTCTTAGGATGATCTTAGCTAAGAGATATCCTAAACCTGTCGCAAGTTCTTTAAATTTTTAAATATTAACATGGATTCATGGATAAATTCATGTAAATGTATTATGTGTTTCCAATAAATTACTTAACGTATTGATTAACATTCCAGAATTAGATATTTTGTAAAATTAATATAAAACATTAGTTTAATTTATATAAATAATCTATTAATAATACACCAATATGCATATAAAAATTCAAATAAAAATTTGAGAAAAAAAACAATAAGCTGATGATTATTTGATTTTGTACAAGTGAGTTGAATTCAAGTTTTCACTGTATCGGTTATAAAAAGGTTAAAGGATAAAATCGTGCATTTTTGATATAAATAAATCGAATGTTCATTGTTGATAAATCATTGTTGATAATCCGCCAACCTATAAAGATTTTGTTACTAGTAGAACAAGGAGATTAGATAATCAAATAATAATAACATAGTTTGCAAAATTAATATAAAAAATAAGTGTAATTCATAAAAATAAACTTACGACTATCCTTAGACCATCATAAGACACCTCTCGTGTAGTCCAAACTTTATGACCAACTTTAAGAGATGCCCTAAATTAGGACCACTTTGTGAAACCCACTTAGGACTAAGATATGTCGTAAGACCATCCTAAGACATATCTTAGTCCTAAGACAGCTTTGTGAAACTGGCCCCCGTTGTAGATTCAGATATAAATATAGAGTAAGCGTTTAAATATTGTTTGGATTCTAAATCTGAATGATTTATTACAGATCCTGAGGGTGATCAAATATCATTTTCCACAGATAAAGAACTAACAGAGGCTCTGGGTTTCATAGAAGATGGAATTTTTAAGATAAAAATCAAAGGTAAATATTAACATCAGAACTACATGCATTTAAAATGACTTTGTTTAACTTTTGTTTCTAAAACAATTTGAAATATGAAAAAAATAATTTGACATATAAACATGACATAGTGCAACATATGCTCAATCGTTTATAGAAAACAAATAAAAAAGTCAATACTAATATGCATGTATCCAGAAAATTAATGAATTCAAAAGTAGAATAAGAATACCTGTGTATATTAAAGGGAGCCATCAGAAAAGCTGGGACTAGTATATTGTGAAAAACAAGTCTACAATGAGGAAAACATATTGATCTGACTGTTAAGGATAATGCTTGGTTTTAATGGCAAATGAATTAAAGATGTTACATACAGACGGTTCAATTTCAAACATTACACACATATAATAATAACTATTATTTATCAAACCATTAAGATGTACGTTAAAGGATTTATTAAAATGAACAATTAAGTTTAGCGCCTGTTAAAACGTTTAAACCCGCTGCATTTGTTTGCACCTGTCCTAAGTCAGGAACCTGTTTCAGTGGTTGTCGTTTATTGATGTGGTTCTTAAGTGTTTCTCGTTTCTCGTTTTTTATATAGATTAGACCGTTGGTTTTCCTGTTTGAATTATTTTACACTAGTCATTTTAGGGCCCTTTATAGCTTGCTGTTCGGTGTGAGCCAAGGCTCCGTGTTGAAGGCCGTACTTTGACCTATAATTGTTTACTTTTTACACATTGTGACTTGGATGGAGAGTTGTCTCATTGGCACTTATACCACATCTTCTTATTTCTAATTACTATTTTTTTTTCAAATTGACAAATATATTGATAAAATTTACATGCTGTTCTAACTACTTTTTTTTAAATTTTAAAGTTAATATAGTGTATGAATTTGTATGGGCTATATAAATGAATTAGTAATTGTTCTTGATACCTATAAGCTGTATTGCTTTTGGAATAAAGAATATATATATTAAATGTGAATCAATTAAATCAAAACTAATCATGTTATACTCTGTTTATAGATATAGGAAGATGTGGTATGAGTGCCAATGAGACAACTCTCCATCCAAGTAAAAAATTATAAAAGTAAACCATTATAGGTCAAGGTACGGCCTTCAACACGGAGCATTGGCTCACACCGAACAGCAAGCTATAAAGGGCCCCAACAATTACTAGTGTAAAACCATTCAAACGGGAAAACCAACGGTCTAATCTATATAAAAACGAGAAACGAGAAACGCGTATGAACTACATAAACAGACGACAACTACTGTAGATCAGATTCCTGACTTAGGACAGGTGCAAACATTTGCAGCGGGATTAAACGTTTTAATGGTACCAAACCTTCTCCCTTTTCTGAAACAATAGTATTACATCACAACATAGAAAGACACACTAATCTATTTTATTTCTATTTTAATTATTCCACTCTTTTAGGGCACCGTGAATGTCATAAACATTTTTGCTGTTGTGGTTGTGGTTGTACCAGCATATAGATGAGTAAAAGTATATATATACTTGATTTACCTTTATTTTTTTCTCAGAAACAAAAAGAGAAGACTGCGAGCAGGAGAAATAGTTACTCCGCAAATTAATACGATTGGCTGACTACAAGAGGAAATTTCCTCATGGCGGAAAAGCGGAAGAAACAAAATTGTAAAAAGGCTCTTGGAGATACCCCCTCCCCACAAAAAACTAATGATGGATGCTGATGGATGTCTTATCTATGTAAATAAGCGGTGTTCCAGTTTAATATCAACTGAAATAGAGATTTTATTTAAAGTCGGTGATACATATAGATGACAAGTATCAATAATGTAACATAAGCTCTGTAGACATAATAAACTCAAGTTGAAAGTTTTTCAGTATTATTTATTGAATGCGTCTTCCTGAAAAGGCCAGATGTGAATGACAATCACCTGCATGTCAAATCATTTTTCATTATGCGTAGGGTTCCAAAAATAATTCATTTCAATTTAGAGCACACAAAGTTACAGGACATAATAAATGCAATGAAAAATGCGGCTTTTTAAACAGCATGATAGGGTGATACACACTCATGGGGATACCAAGCTCAACAAAGTTTCAAAAGGGGTTAATTTTCAGCATTTAAGATCTTTTTAGCTGCCAAATTACAAAACGATATATTGTATTTTATTTTATTTTGAAAGCGATTGGAACTATTGTTCAGTGGTTTTCTTTGTTTACTGTCTGTCATATTTGTTTTATCAAAAATCAGGCCGTTGCTTTTTTTTCGTTTGATTTGTTTCACATTTTGTCATGCCGAAAAGGGGGGGGGGGGGTAGGCTGACTTTACGGTATAGGTTTTGATCGTTTCTTGAAGGCTGTACCGTGATCTATAGCTGCTTTCGTCCATGTTATTTAGGCACTGGTGGATGGTTGTATCATTTGGAATCAAACCACATTTCCTTTATATTGTTGTCCTATACATTTTGTCGAGACTATGTACTTATGTTTAAGCTTTGCACAGTGTCACGCTTTAAATAAACTGCATGTTTTTGACGTCGCTTCACTTAATCCGTTGAATTTGTACTAATTGATACAATAGTCTGTGAGATTATGAGGGTTGAGTGGTATCAAACATGTTTAACCCCGCCACATACTTTATGTGTCTGTCCCAAGTCAGAGGCCTATAGTTCAGTGGTTGTCTTTGGTTGCTGTCTGTCATATTGGTTTTGTGTCATAATTCTGGCCGTTTTTTATAGCTTATAGCTGATTATAAGGTTTAAGTTTTGCTCATTATTGAAGGCCGTACGGTGACCTGTAGTTGCTTACATCCATGGTATTTGGACTCTGATGGATAGTTGTCTAATTTAGAATCAAAGCACATCTCCTTACTTTGTATTATGGTCTGTCGTTAATATACGTACTTACATTTTGGCATTGCACAATGTCAAGCTTTTTCGACGGTTTTTGACGTCTTGACACTAAATCCATAAAATTGAGAATGGAAACGGGGAATGTGTCAAAGAGACAACAACCAGAGCAGAAACAGCCCAAGGCCACCGTTTGATTTGTACTGATTGATACTATATTATTTATTTTTTTTCACTGAAATTGGCTTTTAACTAGCTTTCAGTAAATGCAAGTACATTTTTGTCATTTGTCTTTATGTTTCTATGTTAAAACCCACCGCACTCTTTATGTGTCTGTCCCAGGTTAGGGGGAGGGTTGAGCGCTCACAAACATGTTAAAACCCACCACACTCTTAATGTGTCTGTCCCAGGTTAGGGGAGGGTTGAGCGCTCACAAACATGGTAAAACCCACCACACTCTTTATGTGTCTGTCCCAGGTTAGGGGAGGGTTGAGCGCTCACAAACATGTTAAAACCAACCACACTCTTTATATGTCTGTCCCAGGTTAGGGGGAGGGTTGAGCGCTCACAAACAAGTTAAAACCCACCACACTCTTTATGTGTCTGTCCCAGGTTAGAGGAGGGTTGAGCGCTCACAAACATGTTAAAACCCGGCCACCACACTCTGTATGTGTCTGTCCAAGGTTAGGGGGGGGTTGAGCGCTCACAAACATGTTAAAACCCACCACACTCTGTATGTGTCTGTCCCAGGTTAGGGGAGGGTTGAGCGCTCACAAACAAGTTAAATCCCACCACACTCTTTATGTGTCTGTCCCAGGTTAGGGGGGGGGGGGGTGAGCGCTCACAAACATGTTAAAACCCACCACACTCTTTATGTGTTTGTCCCAGGTTAGGGGGAGGGTTGAGCGCTCACAAACATGTGAAAACCCACCACACTCTTTGTGTCTATCCCAGGTTAGGGGGGGGGGGGGTTGAGCGCTCACAAACATGTTAAAACCCACTACACTCTTTATGTGTTTGTCCCAGGTTAGGGGAGGGTTGAGCGCTCACAAACATGTTAAAACCCACCACACTCTTTATGTGTCTGTCCCAAGTCAGATGCCATATAGTTAAGTGGTTGTTGTTGGTTGCTGTCTGTCAAATATGTTTTTCGGTTTATTGTGTTGTGTAAAATCACGCCTTTTGTTGTTCGTTTGAATTGTTTCACATTTTTTCATGTCAGAACCATTTATATCAGACCATACGGTATATGTTTTACTCATTGTTGAAGGCCATACGGTGACCTATAGTTGATTACATCCACATCATTTGGACTTTGTTGATAATTGTCTCATTGGCAATCATATCACATTCCCTTATTTTTATACCCTAGGTATCTCTTTAAAAATTTCTTTGACAATACCGTCCCCCGTAGTACACGAGAGAAAACATTTAGGGTTTTTTAAACAAGGAAAAATACACCAGCAGTAGTATAACGACAGTGTTATTTTAAATGATTTAATGACTAATCTACATTTATCATATAAAAATTACAGATGAAGAATTCTTAAAGCTACAATGAGGTATACATAATATACTTATCAAAATTATAGTGATCTCCCAAAACGTCTTTAAAATTAACCTTTCACTATTGAACATTTATCTATTGCATAAGATTTAAAAACAACAACGTTGTCTACATGATTATAACATTTTTTACAAATATCATTAACATGATAGTATAGTGATACTTAAAAGTTTTAAACAAAAATAACACATAATATACTTCAGAGTTCACAAAGATGTTATTAAATTATGTTTAGACTTTGTGTATGCAATCTGTAGAGCCGTCTGGAGTATGTCTACATCCATGCTTCAGCTCAGATTGAATTAAATTCTTCTCCTCTTCAAGTTCTGTCATTGTGTTTATAAGCCTCATTCGTCTTGGCATCCAGTAGTTCATACCACGCCCATGACGGTGTCCTAATCCTCGTTGCTTCACCCTCCATGTAATTGGTATTCTCTTGTTTTCCTCTAACATCCGTCGAAAATGGATTTTCTTTTCAATATTTTCCTGCCTACGACAACGACGATTTGCTTTCTTGTCATCGTTAATATCAACATCTTGTTCATCTTGTAATTCGATGAACATCTTGCGTATATTCTTTTTAAACGGACCATTTCTCAAGTGTTTTTCACCATGGTCACCATTGCGGCATCTACGGCCATGACATTCCGCAGAATGATGGTGTGGACTTAATTTACCAAACCGTCTCCCTGCATTAAATCGGCCAAAGTGTGCTGCTCTAGATAGGGTCCCATTTATACGACCTGGACAACTTCTTGCACGATGTTGATTTTTCAGTTTCAGTTTAATCACTGCATTGTGTTTATCTCCTCCAAATTTGCCCTGTTGACGTCCGAATTTTTCACGGCCCGCCTTTTCTGTTCCTAAAGGAGGTCCCGAATTCTTATTTCTTTCCTGGTTAGTGGTTTCTGGAGTCAAATCTCCCATTTTAAGGTGTGCAAGTTTGTTCCTTAGGCGCCAGATGCGTTTTTGCAGACGATCATTCTCACCATTTTCGTTATTGTTGTCTTCGGTTGCATTGTTTGAAGATTCTTTCATTTCTTGCTGTCGATTCAACCATTTTTGTTGTCTTCTGTTAAACCAGGCTTCCATTTCTTCATTTGATTTCCTCTGCATTCTGTTTCTATAACGACGATGATAGAATCCAATATGTTCAAGCTCAGGTTCATGGTTATCTGATCTTCCTTTGAATATTGACCATCCATTATTGTGGTCGTCATCGAAATCAGGAGACTTCTGAAGAAAAGTATGTGAAAAAATAAGTTATTATTGTTAGTCCACCTAAAAATTTGATTTCAGGAATGCACGCAAGGGTATTTAATCTTTTCATTTATATAGGTGATTAAAAATTAAAAAAAAAATCTATTTAATATAGTTACTTTTAAAAACATGATTCATGAAGTTAAATATTGGTGCATCTTAACCTATACGAGTGCGGGTCCAGGATTTTGAAAAAGGGTGACCCTCTGGCAAGCCAACCTTTGGAGTGATATTTGTAAAAAATCTAATAATATATGAAGCTCCATAAAGGGAACCCGGTCTATCTAGTCCGTACGTTTGTCTCTGTGTGTTTTAATCGTGCAACAAATAGGTTAATTGCTAGTGGTTGATCATTCGGTGTTTTTCTGTGAGCTTGGTAGTCCCTTTTACTTTATCGTTAAACATTCATATTAATAAAACACGAGTTATTTACCTTCATTTGAGCTTTGTGCAGCCTTCTCCCAGATCCTTTTTTGTGTTTATTGATTGTGTTACAATATTTAAGCTGGGGTACACTTTTCAGATATTGCTGTTGGTCAACTGTAATAAGTAAAAGTAATATTATGACAGTATAATATGTAATGAACTATAAATTATATACTTATAAAAAGATTTTAATCGATATTTCGATCTGAATTATGCTATTACAAAAATTGAAAGAGACACTTATGTATACACGTACGATCATTGTCTTTTTGGCAATATGATAAACAAACAAAAGAAACAGAAGTTCGAGCAATAAAATTTCTAAAACGGGGAAAGTTTCAATATATACATGCATACAAATATGGACCAAGCTAAGATGATTTTGCATTAACAAGATGAAGTTCGTATCCAGATTTTTGACTTCATATTGATCAATACAAATCCTTAAATTGGTCTTTATAGTTCTTTATCTTTATTTAATAACTTATGTTTTAATTTTTTGTCCATGTCTTTTCTTTAACCTTTTCATGCACTAGGCATGTATACGATAAATAAAATTTCTTACCTGTGACGAACATTCTAAATATACCATCAGAGACACCTTCCAAAGCCTCTTGTAGTTCTTCGTCTGAAGAAAATGAGACAAGATCGCCATCAGCATCTACAATTGATATAACATTGTGATTAATTACTCCCTGTTTTGTGAAATTAATAAATTAATAAAATGATGTGCACGTGGCCTAGGAGGATATACAGGCTCTGACTGAACGGTACGCTTAATCCTCCCCCGTGACCGGCATTTAGTCTTGTTAGTTTTGAGGCCAGATGCGGACCCAGGATATTGAAAAGGGGGCGGGGTCCCCAAAATAGGCAACGTTAGGAGTGGAGCACATAAAAAGTCTATGTATTAACCATTAATATAACTCTATAAGGGGGCCCGCGCCCCTGCAACCCTAAATTCGCCTCTGGAGGCAGCAATGCACCGGTCTGTAATGCTTTGATCAGTCTATTTAATATTGCATTTAGTAGTCCTGAAATGGTCACTTATTTTCTATTTCCGTTATCTTATAGTCCGCTGTCCGTTCTCCAAATGACTGTTCACGAAGATTTTCAAATGTCACCCTGGCAAATAACTGTGAAATATAAGTGGTCATTTATTAGGTACCCCTGTAAATGTTTACTACTGTATTTAGTAAATAAACATTTGTTTTCAAAAACATATCAAATTAAGTTTTGTAGCGCAAACTCGCACACACTTTCTAAGCAAAAAAAAAGGAAGGTATCAGGTAATTTTAAATGAACGTAAAATATTTCGCAAAAAATCTAATTCTTCTGTTTTCTTGCAAGGGTCCAGTCAAACACGTGGTGTTATAAAAAAAACATTGAATACAGATAAATGTGTGACGTTATGAGTATTGTCGTGGACGATTTATTCACCATATAATGATTTCTTTATATGGACAGTGATTTACCACGAAAGGGGGGGGGGGGGGTACTTAATCTCTTCCTTTAAAGAAATAAGTTGAAATAAAAAATATCAAATAATATAAAACATATTTAGTCTGTAATTAATTAATATAATTCATACGTTGAAAATAAATAAATAAAAAAGGTCCCCACCAAAAAAAGTAGAATGAGACCGGTCTTTTTTATATTTTTGATTCGGATGTTACTAGCCAAAAACAGCTTCAGCTTGGACTAACACCAAGTTCAAAAAGATTTCTTCTATTTCTACTTTTATTTTTGGAAACGGGCACCAATCTTTTTTTCAATAACTTTTTTTTACTTTATACAATGAAAAAATACGAACACTAAAGCGTCAACTGTTTCAATTAATACATATTTTGCATTTAAATAAATGTGTTCGATATAAATAACTTAGTATATCTTGAACAATAACCTTTCATCGATCTATACCTGTGTAGATTTACCATGCATGAGTTAATTATAATCTTTTAACTTACCTTTCCACATTAGCTCACATTTATCTGTGAAAATCTCGGTAATTTTCCTCTTCAGGAATTCATAGCTAAAATTTTCATCGACAGTAAATCGTCGGAATTCAGAGGTTTCGTCTCCTTTAATAAAGGCTGCTTTAATTACGAGCGACATATTCACAGCTGATTCTAACTATATTTTCGTCGCTACAAATGACGCATGTAAACGAATCATCGCCTTTTATACCATTCATCTAACGTGTCCCATGACCATGAGTCATAGACGAAAATAGATGAAAAGAATGTTCTAGAACAACGATGAAATACCTCGTGACGATGATTCATCGTTTTAAAATTAGACGAAATCGAACAAAGTCATTCTATTTGTTCAACTTATTAAAAAGTTTACAATGAGTCACGCGGTAGATGAATAGACGAAAGAGGATTTTAAAGAATCTATGAGAAAAACTTGTCGATTTTTCAAAGGAACAATTTAACGTTTAAAAACGTGACCGATTATTTTTACTAAAAATAATTCAACAAATGGCTCTTATTGATGGGTAACACGACATTCAAATGATTATCAAACATAACACTAATTTATATTTATCTCCTAATAAATGGAACATATTCATATGCAAAGGAAAACGAACTAGGTTTTTTTTCAGATTTTGTAGAATATTGGTCATTTACAAATCTCTTTATATTTGGAGTTGAAATATTTCTAGTTTGTACGCGGGATATAACACATATGGTTTTTATGAAATTCTCGGTTCAGGAATATGAATAAACCGTGCATAAATTTTCTGGATTATTGAATATAAAGTCAGTCCGCTAAAATCCTCCTAAATAAGATTAAACATAGAGAAAAAGAGGACTGCGAGAGAAAGCGTCTGTACTTTACACCATAAAACAGTTACCATAAATATGGGACCATTTATAGGGGAAAGGAGGATTTTGGGATTTGAATATTCTGATAGTCTGGCTGGTAGGAACTGAAAATATTAACCTTGCCAAAAAATAATAATTTGAAAATGATTATTTTGCCCAACAAAATGCAGGAAATACGCTTATGCAAAAATGAAATAAATAAAAAAAAAAATAAAAAAAAAAAAGACTCACAAAAAGGTGGAAATGAATACTGGATTCCCAGATGAGGATTTAGGGGGCAGGGGGCAGCCCCTTTAATGGAGCTATGATATATATAAATGAATAGTCTTTTCACATGTCCAACTTCTAATGTAACGTTATATTGCCTTGTTTGTCCAATCTCCCTCTTGAAAATCATGGACCTGCATCTGATTCCGTCATGAAAAAATCCTCCTTTCTCCTCCCCAGAGTATCAAATGAAAATGAAAAAATAATCTTCGATAGAATATTTAGGCTAATAAACAAAGGGAGTAAAAACAAATACTTTACATTTAATTACATGTAAAATAAAATTTAAAACAAATGATTTGAAAACGAAATAATGGACATTGTTGTTTTTTTGTATGTCAGAAATTCAAGAATAACGTATTCGTCATGGTCATAAGTTTCTTATTCTCTGATCAATTCCGTCGTGTCATTTTGTGTTGCATAAAGAGGAAACATGTGTGTTACTAAAAATAGGCATGACATCGTTGTTTGTTGATATTTTTCAGAACGGAACTTGCGCATTATACTCATATTTGAACAAATGTTTGTCATCATTACTTTCAGTTACCTGGTCTAGTTGGTTCTGGAACTAAATCTGTCGTCGATTCATCGTCATTAATACCTGACAACTTGGGGTTATAAAAAGAGAAGAGTTGACGAATTTAGACACAAGCTCTTTTTGGTAGCAAAGAGAACACAAGTATTTCCCGCGAAGATGTCATTGACAGTAAAAGCCTATTTGGTAAAGAAAGGAGAGGAAAAGAGAGAAATACGTAGATTTGCTGTGCCTGCTGATGTTTCAAGCAGCTTCAGTTATCTTCAGAAGAAAGTTTCGGATATTTATCCTACTTTAAGGCAAGGAAATTTTAATCTGTACTGGACTGGTAAGTTCTCATCTAATTGATTATTTTAAAATAATTTACAAAAGCAGAGACAAAAGCGATAGGCAAATATTTTTTTCTGTTTACATTTGTATACAGCTGTTATAAAAATGATTGCTACATGTAGTTTATAAGATTTTTGTTTTACATTTGATCAGCTACCTGGCTGGATAGAAAAAAAACAATCTTGACGTCTTAACACTGAGGGTCTCAGAGGGTTGATCAGGGTTGATATCATATATTCCATATTTTCTATGCAGTATGTCAATACAGTAAAGAGTATGAAGGTTAACATTTACAAATTGAGTTGCTGTCTTTAAAAAGGTTTATTTGTTATGAAAGTCTTGGTATTTTTAACTTTCATTTTATTTCTGTTTAGTTTAAAATGCAACATGTAATGTATTATGTTCTGTTAAATGCCCTTGATGTTTCATCATAATATATATAATATGTTTTATACCTGTACATCCTGTATAATTTGTCTATTAATATTTGACCTGCTTTCAAAGCATATGATTATTGCAATTTTAAATGCTACATTATTAGTTTGTTAAATTTAAAGTGATCAGGTGTTTAATTGTATAACAAGTTTTTTTAAATCATGGGCTCAATAAATGCAAGAACATGACCACATCAGTAATTCAACAGTTTAAAAAACATAAATAAGATTAATTGAAACAAGCCAGCAGTGACAAATACATGTAAAATTTCCAAAATAGACAATGAATGAGATCATGTATATGAATATGAAGATTTCCTTATTTGTACAAGGAAAACACTATTTAAACCTAAAGCTACAAGGAAAAAGAAACTAATATTATCTTTGAATAGTATACTGACAATGTATTATGTCCCAGATAATATCAATACACTATTGATCTAATTCACAACTTCAGACTCGAAAAAGGTGGAAAATCCATAATAGATTATAAATTATAATGATTACTCTAAAATTGTTGAGTTATTAAAAGTATCTGTGGAAGTCTTAATCAGAAATTATATATTTTATTTATTGCAGATCCTGAAGGTGACCAGATTGCATTTTCTACAGACGATGAACTAACAGAGGCCCTTGGTTTCGTAGATGATGGAGTTTTTAGGATAAAAATTAAAGGTAATATATTAATATCAGAGCCACTTGCTTAAAATGACTGTACTTTGTTTAACCTTTGTTTCTGAGACTAATTGAAATATAATAATTTTTTCCAATTGATTTTGACATAAAATAATGAAATAGTGCAACAGATGTTTGCTTATTAGTTAAGAAAGACAAAGTCAATATTAATATGCATGTATCCTGAAATATATATATTAATACATAGCATAAGAATACTTGTACTTTAAAGGGTAAGATCAGAAATTGTAAAATTAAACTCCATGCTAAGTAGATACATGTATATTGGTCAGTGAAGTATGATGCTGGGTTCAAATGGTGGAACAGACAGTTCAATTAAGCATTACACACATAAATAATAGCTTATAAATATTAATTTAAACAATTACTGTTCTTGAAGGAATTTAAATGTACAAAAAGGATTTTTTTTAATTGACAAATATATCGTTAAAATCAACAACTAGAATATATAGAGAAGAATGAAATCATATAATTGATATACCTGTATTTTTCCTCAGAAGCAAAAAAAGAAAGCTGTGAGCAGGAACAGAAAGAGAAAGTTATTCATCCAAGAATAGTGTGTGATGGGTGTGAAGGAGCAGTGGTCGGTAACAGATTTAAGTGTGCCATCTGTCCAGACTATGATCTGTGTGAAACATGTGAGAAAAAGGGACTACACCAGGAACATGATATGATGAAAATAACAACACCAAGTCAAGGACTCTTTGGAGCTTTTGGAGGCCCACCTTTTGGAGGCCCACCTTTTGGAGGAGCACCTTGTGGACCTTTTGGAGGACCTCCTTGTGGACCCCCTCCACCATTTGGTGCACCTGGAAATCATGGAGGAGTAAGTGTATAGTTCTTGGATTGTACTATAAAAACAGAATATCACTTATTTTTTATATAATTACCATTTCTTATATTGTTATGTACATGTATGTCTCAGGAATGTCCTTGGCATTATACATTGTAAAGCCTGTAATTCTAAATATGTTGTGAAATAGATTGTAAGTATAAGATAATGAAAGCCTTTTTCAATTCTTTTTATACGCCCGTTTACGGGTCGTATTATGGTATACCTCTGTCCGTCTGTCCGTCCGTCTGTCCGTCGTCAACATGTCGGACATTAACTCAAAAATGCTTTAACCAATTTGCATAAAACTTTGGTGAATTGTTTATATCTATTGACGTGAGCTCCCTTTTGTTTTTTATAAAATTTAGATTTTACGTTTCCGAGTTATGGGGTTTTATTCATTAAAAAAAGGGGGATTTTCAAGTTTTCGGACAATAAGTCAAGAATGCTTTCACCAACTTGCAAGAAATTGTGGTGAATTGTTTATATCTATTGACATGAGTTCCCTTTCGATTTTTTTAAATTTTAGATTTTACGTTTCCGAGTTACAGGGTTTTATTCATAAAAAAAGGGGGGATTTTCCAGTTTTCGGACAAAAACTCAAAAATGCTTTCAGCAATTCTTATGAAACTTTGGTGAATTGTTTGTATGTATTGCTGTAATCTTTCTTTAGAATTTTATAAATTTTACATTTTACATTTCTGAGTCATGGGGTTTTATTCATTAAAAAAAGGGGTAATTTTCCAGTTTTCCAGTTTTCGGACAATAACTCAAAAATGCTGTCACAAATTCTCATGAAACTTTGGTGAATTGTTTATATCTATTGATGTAAGCTCCCTTTTTATTTTCATAAATCTCTAATATGATATTGAGAATTAATTGAACTTTATTTGTTTATAGTCTGACAACAGAATTACTAAGTATTGCACAACAGCAAGAAATCTTTAATTGAATATAAATTCAATTCATATAACCAATTTCAAGATCTTTGACTACATTTATTCAGAAACCTATGATATGTCAAATATTTAATTACAATCCAAATTCAGACCTGAATCAAGCTTGAATATTGTGTCCATTTTTGCCCCAACTGTTCAGGGTTGGACCTCTGCGGGCGTATCTAGCTGCTCTCAGCGAAGCAGTTTATTTTTTTATAATTGACATCCCCTGTATTGTGTGTGGTTTAAGATCTTCTCTGGGTTATCATAATTATTTAATTTGTTTATTACAGTTTGTTCCTCCACCACACTTTCGTCGTTGGATGCAGAGATTTATGAAACGCTGGCAGAAGAACCAGCAAGGATGTGGTGATCAGAATGAGTCTCCAATGGAAGAAGATCCTAAACAAGGGGAGGCAACTGAAGAAGATTGCCAAGATGACGATTATCTTCGTAATGTTGGTGAAAGTGTCCAGGCAATGCTTGATCCTTTCGGTAAGATATTCTAGAAGTACTATTGTGCAATTTATCAAACATTTATAACTACTCAATCATATTATTTAAAACTTTTAATAGGTCTGTTTATGGAAAAGACTTTTGTAGGAATAAGTTAATCATTGGCAATGGTTATTAGATAAATTGGAAGAATTGCTTTTGAGATTTATTAAAATTTATAAGAAAAAACGAATTTACACAGTCATTGATTCTTATTTACCTTTACCTTAAGATATATTTTCAATACATCTGTTTCAAGTTTTATTATGTATGTGATAAAACACTAGACATTTATTTAAATGATTTCTCTCTGATTGCAGGAATTGATGTAGAAATTGATGTTGAACACCATGGACAGAGGAAACGATGTGGCCGTGGGGCTGGTAGAGGGCGCTGTGGACGTGGTGGTGGTTGGTCAAGACCACAAAGCTGCCCAGGACGTCAAGGACAGTTTCATGGACAGTTTCCAGGGTGTCCATTTGGATTTGGTGGAGCAGCACCACAGCAGTCAAAAGATAAAAAAAGTGAAACAAAGAAAGATGATGTTCCAATGAAAGAGGCTGAGCCTGCCAAGGAAAAGGAGGTTCCCATGAACACTGAGGGTAGCAAAGAGGCCTCTCTTAAGGTAACTATTCAATAATAAATTGAACTGATAATGGTGAACAATTGTTGATCTATTTATTTTCATGGATTGATGAAACATTGTTTTTCATAGCTATTTGATTTCTTGGTTTCCAAAGTCTTCATACAAGCCTTTAGAAAATGTATACTGCATTGAACATTTGAATTAGTGGTTCATGTTAACCATAGAAATCCCCCAAAATTGATATCCCACGAAAATAATGAATACACAGTGTTGTTTAGAATTGAATTTATTCTAAATTGTGAATTTGTTTAATTGAAAGGAAAAATTTATCAAGACTTGAGCAAATTTAAAGATGCAAAATAAGTAGTAGCAATAGGTCATAGATTTTTCGATACTCATTATTATTGAATTTGAAGTGAAATAAATGTATATTTGAATATTTGATATTTTTTAAGGAAAAGTACAAAAACTAATTGTAAATTGATATTATCTCCAGGACTCAACAAAGAAGCCAAATGAGCCAGAAGATTGGACTATTTTGACAGAGTCCACCGAGTCTAGTGGACCCAAACCAGGACCATCAGAAGTGCCTGAACCTTCTGTACCAAGTACAACCAGTCTGTACCCTCCTTTAGGTAGGTTTTGTTTTAAACATTGTAAATATTAATTAAGTCTTAGATTTTTTCAGCCTATCAGACTCTACCAATTTAACAAAAAAAAAATTGAAGATCTTTTATGAAAACAAATTTCTTGAAAAAACAGAATTATTTTCAAAGACATACTAGACAAGACTGAATTAAGAAATGAATTATCTATACATTTGTATGGAAGTCATGATATTGTTTACAAGTGGACAACAAAAACATTTTGTAGTTTAACTTGAATTGTCTCCCTTGAACAATGAAAAATGCACCAAGAGTTGTTTCCCATGTCTAAAATCTCTGTATTTTAATTATAGATCCTAAGATAAGAGAGGCTTTGGATACCATGATGGGAATGGGATTTCATAACGAAGGAGGCTGGTTGACCTCTCTCCTGAATGAGAAAGAGGGAGACATTGGGAAAGCTCTAGATTCCATTCAGCAGAGACGTAATAGGACCTCAGATGGTGGATACATGGCCTGAGATCTTTACACAATCATGTGGTTTTGGGACTATCAATTGAATGCTTAGTTATTAATATATATACAATGTTAATAGACATTTCTGTTGTTTTAAGGGATAATATTTTATTGTAAATGTCTGCTTTATAATTTTATTGTTGTAATTTGTTAACTTGGTGGTTGCTACATAATTAAAACTTTGACTTTGTTGTGATATTTCATGTTATAAGATTATCATGTTTGTTATAGCTTTTAAAAAACAACAAAAATTGAAAGAAATTTTAAGAAAAATTTTTACTAGCTTATTGTTAGACAAACTGTTTAATGAAATGTTTCACTTCTTGATTTGTATTTTTATGTATGAAAAAACTTTAGGAAACTGAATTTAAATACACTATATTTTGAGGTTAATATTTTTATGGAATAGTTTAATCAATCAGATGATCTGTTTGAGGAATTTATATGAAACAGAAAATGATTATATTCATTTATATTTTTACTGAAGAAACAATTGTTTCTGTGATTTTGTTATAAAATAAATTATTAAATGTTACAGTTTATTGACTGATTGAATTATGTTGCCATTAAACCTCAATACAATCAAGACATTCAAGTAGTGGAGTGACGTAATAATATGTCACAAAATACTAAAGCAGCAACACATGAATTTAATGACCAGGTTCCTGTTTCATTATCCTTAATACTACATTTAATTTAGAGATTGCTAGTACAGATTCTAGTAATCTTTTTGTCTCACCTCAACAATGCTTGTTCAGAATCTATTGATCTTATTGTCTCGCCTCAATGATATTAGTTCAGAATCTATTGATCTTATTGTCTCGCCTCAACTATGCTAGTTCAGATTCTATTGATCTTATTGTCTCTCCTCAACAATGCTAGTTCAGATTCTATTGATCTTATTGTCTCGCCTCAACGATGCTAGTTCAGATTCTAGTAATCTTATTGTCTTGCCTCAACAATGCTAGTTCAGATTCTATTGACCTTATTGTCTTACCTCAACGATGCAAGTTCAGATTCTATTGATCTTATTGTCTCGCCTCAACGATGCTAGTTCAGATTCTATTGATCTTATTGTCTCGCCTCAACAATGCTAGTTCAGATTCTATTGAACTTATTGTCTCGCCTCAACGATGCTAGTTCAGATTCTTGTGATTTTATTGTCTTGCCTCAACAATACTAGTTCAGATTCTAGTGATTTTATTGTCTCGCCTCAACGATGCTTGTTCAGATTCTAGTGATTTTATTGTCTCACCTCAATGATGCTAGTTCAGATTCTAGTGATATTATTGTCTTGCCTCATTGATGTAGTGAAGGCAATACTTATCCATCCTGTTTCTGGCATCAGCAGCTGCAGCCTCGGTACTTAAGCTGTTCAACAATGTGTCATTAGGTCAGATTTAGAACCACTCGTATTTGTTATACAGTTGTGTTAGCAGTGGTATATGGAAATTATTTCACCCACCCCTCAGTCGTAATGCCTTGAAACTTTGGTTTAGTTTACACGTTAAAGTTTGTTATAAGGTCAGTTTAAGATGAACCACTTATAGTAAGTCAAAAGTATTTGATATGCATTTGTAGAAGCATTTGCATGTCTCATTTCCACAGACATTATGTGGCCTGCTACCTCAGTCATGGTTCATTTATTTTTGCACAATTTACATTTGAAAGTTAATCTGTATCTGTATCTGTAAGTAATCTTCATCTCCAATATAGGAGATCGAGGAAATCCTCATTTAATCCATAACCCAAATAAAATCACACAATACTGTACATTAACTAAAATATTTACAGTTAAACACAGCTGTTCTCGTTTCTCATTTTTATACGACCGCAAAAAAATTTTGCGGTCGTATATTGGTATGACATCGAAGACACATTCGCTTTCGCACAATAACTTTGGTTCAAGTGAATGGATCTCTATGAAATTTTACCATAAGGTTCAATACCACAAAAAGGAAGGTTGGGATTGATTTTGGGGGTTATGGTACAAACAGTTAAGGAATTAGGGGCCAAAAAGGGGCCAAAAATAAGCATTTTTGCAACTTCCAGACAATAAATTGTGTGTTAGTGTATGGAGATCTATGACATTGTACCACAAGGTTCCATATCACAAAGGGAATGCTGGGATTGATTTTGGGGTTAATTGCCTCAAAATTTTAGGAATAAGGGGCCAAAAAGAGGGCAAAAAACAAGCATTTTTCTAGTTTCATGACAATAACTTGTGTGTAAGTGTATGGATCTTTTTGAAATTCTACTACAAGGTTCCATATCAGAAAGGGAAAGCTGGAATTGAGTTTGGGGGTAATTGCCCAAAACGTTTAGGAATAAGGGGCCAAAAATAAGCATTTTTAAAGGCACCAGACAATAACGTGTGTTCAAGTGTATGGATCTCTCTGAAATTGTACTGCAAGGTACCATACCACAAAGGGAAGGCTGGCATTGATTTTGGGGGTAATTGCCTCAAAATTTTAGGAATTAGGGGCCAAAAAGGGGCATAAAAACAAGCATTTTTACAGTTTCCAGACAATAACTTGTGTTCAAGTGTACTGTAAATTCAGAAATTATTGCGTGCATTTATTATTGCGATTTTGTCATATTAGACTAAAATGCGGTTTTAATTTTTGCGATATTGAGAAAAATCCTGTTTAATTCATATAAAAACTTTCAAAATGCGTGTTTAAATTATTGCGATTATAACCCTGTCGCATTTTTCGCAATAATAAAAACATCGCAATAATTTCTGAATTTACAGTATGGATCTCTCTGAAATTGTCCTGCAAGGTACCATACCACAAAGGGAAGGCTGGGATTGAGTTTGAGTTTTATTTTAACAAAAATTGAATTCTTGGGGTTCTTTGATATGCTGAATCTAACCATGTATGTATTTAGATTTTGGATATTGGACCATAATAGGTAAATTAAAATTTTTTAAGTTCTTAGTCCACATTCATTCTGTGTCAGAAACCTATGCTGTGTCAAATATTTAATCGCAATCCAAATTTAGAGCTGTATCAAGCTTGAATGTTGTGTCCATACTTGCCCCAACTGTTCAGGGTTCGACCTCTGCGGTCGTATCAAGCTGCGCCCAGCGGAGCATTTTATTAGAAGTTACTTTTAAATGCTGCTGAAGGAATTTTATTTTTAGATAATACTATTAAAAGTTGCTGGTGAAGGTTTTTTTAATTTTAGCCATGACTGATGTCATTTTCTATTTTAATACTTTTATGATGTATTTAAATGGGCTTTTATGGTTAAAAAAAACATTTTTTTCTAGTTTCCAGACAGTAACTTGTGATTAAGATTATGGATCTCTCTAAAATTGTACTACAAGGTTCCATACTTCAAAGGAAAGACTGCAATTGAGTTTAATGGTTAATGCTAAAAGGGGGATTCAAAAAGTTTGGGGGGGGAGGGGGGTTTCCAATTTTTTTATAAAAGGGTTCATATTTTTTTTTTCAAAATTTCAAATTTTTGAAAAGTTTCAAATAAGGAATCTTCAATTGCACAGTATTGGGCATTAGATTTGTAAGATCTTTGACCACTTTTATTTTGTGTCAGAAACCTATATTATTTCAAAATTTTGATCACAATCCAAATTCAGATAGTATCAAGCTTGAATATTGTGTCCAAATTTGCCCCAACTGTTCAGGGTTCGACCACTGCGGTCGTATCAGGCTGCGCCCAGCGAAGCATTTTATTTATACTGATTAGACCGTTGGTTTTACTCTTTGAATTGTTTTACACTAGTCATTTTGGGGCCTTTGATAGCTTGCTGTTCGGTGTTAGCCAAGGCTCCGTGTTGAAGGCCGTACTATGACCTATAATTGTTAACTTTTTATACATTGTGACATTGGATGGAGAGTTTTCTCATTGGCACTCATACCACATATTATTTATACTGTTAATGTTTAGGTCAGTTAAGGGGACACGTACACTTGTGATAATTCAATTGTATTTGGTGTGCAGTTGTATTCTAATTGGCATTTATTGGGTTCATAAACGTGTTGTTTTATTTTTTTACAGCTGATGGACTATCAGTCCCCGAGGGTATCACCAGCCCAGTAGTCAGTACTTAGGTACTGACATGATTTATAACAAACCTTTCTAAAATTGTTCATTAATAAGTTTTGAAATTATAAGAAACCAAGGTTTCAACTCCCTCAGGCAAAGTTGACCTTAGATGGATTTGGCTATTGTTTTAGGTCCTTTTTGGTCATAGCGCTTCAACTGTTATTATAAATCATTGGCTTTCAAATATTCGGCTTTGAACGTTCCTGATGAAGGTAAACCCAGAAAAGCTCTTCGGACGCATGAAATTTATAACGTGTTGTTTTCATTTTTGACTATGAACATTTTGCACAGTATTGCCATTTTAGTTTTAACATTTGCATTATACTATCAAAATTTTATACTGTCGAGACATTTTTCTGTGTCAACAGTTAATATATATGTATTTAAGGATCATTTCAATTGAAGATTCATACAAAACTGTTTGCTTAACAACTGGCCTTCACAATTTCAATGTCAAGAAACATACGGTGTCAGCTGCCTTGAACAAAAAAGTGATAGTTAATGAACAAGCAAATCGGCATAAGTCATTTAATCTACACGGCGCGGTGACGTACATGACCCGATCGACGTATGAGATTTAATGGCAGATTTTTTTTATCGTTTTTGTTGAATGTATTTCATAATTTTTATATAGATTTGTGACGATTTAAAACTTGACATGTTGTGTAGACACCTATCTATTGTTGAAAACTATATGTTGCCTTCTAGATGTCGTTAGATTGTTTTTTATCGTTTGATTGCTGTTTTATAATAGACGTATAATCCACATCTACAGTTTCAGTTGTCGTTTGATTGCTGTTTTATAGACGTATAATCCACATCTACAGTTTTAGTTTCGTCCACTATAATCTCGTTATTGAGTATAGATAAATTGCTTTTCTTTCCCTCAAGAATATGCAACAATTTTTCTACTGTATTAATTTTAAAGAAATGTATCATCATCTAAACAAAGTTTGATTGATCTGCAGCTTATTTTCCGCCCTGTTTTGGCACATACTTAAATATGAACCTCACTAAATTTGAACCCAAAATAGTCACTAAAAAGGAAAAAAAATATTTAAAAAGTCGTAATAAATTCCATTGAGCACAAAACTATTTCCGATTCGATTTCATTTATTTGGAAAAATATAAAAAAAAAACCCATTTAATTTTTTGGCAGGAATAACGAAAAAAAAAAATAATATCTTTGGAACACCGATTTCAGATTTACATTTAACACAAAATATCATAAAATGTTCCCATATTTTGAAACGAAGAAGTTGATAGAAAGTTATTAACTGATCAACTATGTCGTAACTTCCAGGTCGGTGGCGGATTCAGTAGAGGGAAAAGGGGGAGGGCGAAGAGGGCGCCCACCCTTTGATTGGACAATATATCATGTTTTAGCATAAAATTATCAAAATTGTTTTAAGCCTCGTTACACTCGGCGGTATCTCTTCTATTTTATAGAATTAAGCCCGC